TTCTTTTTAATAAACTGTTGTTTGTTATTTTTTTACTTACTATTTCCCCCCCTTTTTTCATATGTCTGTAATTTTCCTTTGTTTTATCTTCATTTTGATATATATGGTATAAAAATCATTATATATTTTATGTAAAAAAAAAAACTCAATTTATTCTTCTTTAGTAAAAAAATTAATAAATTATGTGTGTTTTGCTGTCAAAAGAAAAGTAATATAATAACAAAGGAAAAGCCAGTCTAATTGTCCAGGTTTCAAAAAGGAATAAAAAACTATTTTTTAGGCTTAGTTGGAGTTTTTTATTTTTCTCTATCACTACTGATCTATGATTTATTTTATATCTCTATTTTTACTTTCTAGTGAGTTTTGGAAATTGAATTCATCTGATGGCACTTCTCTTACTTACTTTTATTTTGTTGAGGCTTCAATATATGAAATGCATAATCTTCACACTAAATTTATGTTCGCATTAAGTTGTCGAAATTTTTTTTTTATTTAACAAATTTTTTTAACAATTCTAAAAGCATCCATTAAAATTATAATGATAATGATGATTCAACAAAGTTTTATTAGTTGAAAAGTCTAGTTTTAGTTTAATGGATAGTGGCTTTTTTAAGTTTTTGTCAGTTTTTGCTTCATCCTATATTTTTTTATAACTATCATAAAGTAAGATTGTTTGAGTCTTGTAATGTGAAATTGTTTACAGGGTATCTGCGCACCTGCAAAGTCATGAATTTCAGTATTATATATGAACAAAATTTGTCATGAAATGTCATGATTTTTACTATTTTTTAAAAAAATCGTGGAAAGTCATGGATTTAGGTCGATGAAAAATCTATTTTTTGAAATGGAATCCCCCCCCCCCATTTCATAGTGTTCCGAATATTTGAATTCAGGGGCCCCCATCAGGGGGGAAGGAGGGCGCACGATGCACCCACTTAAAGCTTGGGAGGAATTTTTACACGAAATAAAACGAATAGTTTGGGGGGGGGATTCAGAATTTGCCCAAGAATGCGCCCAAGAGCTTGGGGGGGGGCACTATTTGGATTAGTAATGAAATCCCCACTCACAGTCATATTTTATTAAAATACAAAATGTTTTTATCATGTTCTTTAAAAATTATGGTGTTCTTTCAAAAAATGAAAGAAAAAACATCATTTCTAGTGCGAATTATCTTTTGAACTTCTGTGATTTCAGAATTTTTGTTATTATTTATTTATTTTTATTTTATCAATTTACAATTCTAGCTGGAGCAAGCCAGTCATTGGCAATTTTTTTTAATTCCGAAATGAGAACGGAAAAATCAGGAGTTTTCCTTTCTAAGAAAAGCATCTTTAGAATGTAATTCTGCAGAAAAAGAAAGGAAGTTATGTGCTTTTGTATTTTTCCCCCCAGCTATTTTATTGCTTCAACTAGTTCTTTACTCTGTTTTTTTTTTTAAATTTAAAATCTATAAATAAATGAAGATGTAGAGTATAACAGTTTTGGTTACACCTATCATTTCAATGAATGTTATTATAATGATTTTTTAAATTTATTGTTGTGTTTTTATCGGAGAAAATAGGAACTTCGTAAAGTCATGAAAAATTCTTGGAATTAGTCATGGAATGTCATGAATTTGAAAATCTAAATTGTAGCAGATACCCTGTGTTTAACACTTTTTTATTATATGATAAATGCTTTAAATTCTTTTCATTTTTCAGATAATGATGGAAGAACTGAGCACACTTGCAACTGGTTATGAAGTTGATGGAGGTCAGTTACGCTATCAATTGTACATATGGTTAGAAAAAAGTGTTTCAGCCCTTAAGGACCTTTGTTTGTATGGGTGGTCTTCTGAAGATTTCAGTCAATCAGGTTTGTAAATTTTTGTAACAGATATTTCATTGTAATTGAACTGAATTACAAGTAGTATTTTTTTATTGTCACAATTTGTGTTTAACTGATATCGATCTTTCATGAATACTTTTCTTGATCTTTTTAATCCTGTTGAAATTTCATCCCTTTTGTGGCAATTTAATCTTTATTCTTTTCAATAATGGTTAGTGGGATGTAGAATTTAAGTGTTATGGCCATTTCACTTGCATTTTACTTTGGATATGATGTAGGGATATTTATAACCCCTCCCAAAAAGAAATTCGTTTAGGAAAAATTGATTTATTAAGAAAATATTATAATGAACATGGTCACATTCCAAAATTATAAAATAAAGAAAAATAAGTCCATTAAAGGGATCAAGAGCTCTTAACATCAAGAATATCTGTTCAGATATCAATTCAATGGTTTAGTCTTAGAGGCCCAAGATATCTTTGCCAAGAATTCGAAATTAAGAGTAAATGAATTGTTCCCAACGGACAATTAGGAGCATGAGAAGAGATTCATGGTTGGCGATTTATCGAAAGATGACATATCCAAAAATGAAGCCAATAATCAATATTAAATTTGAAAATAATGTGGTGAAAGCGAATCGAAAAAAGGACTGAGAATTAGTATAACCATGTAACTGAAACATTTTAGAGGTAAGAAATAAAGAATTAAGAGTTATAAATAGATTTTTGTCTATGATTTAGTCGCAACAGTGAATTAATCAGCATTACATTTGTATTGAAATAAAAATATTGTTTGTTAAGGAAAAAATGAAATATTTATTTCAGCTTTTTATTAAAATGTAATAAAAATTAAATAATTGGGTTAATTTAATTTAAATTTGATTAAGAATGATTAAAAAAATTAATTTAAGAAATTAAAGAAATTTTAATAGCTAGGAAATGCGTAATGCCTATTGTGACATCGCAATCCCTCTTCTATGTTTAACTTAGTTACTTGTTTCGAATATTTCTTTTTGATCAGTTAATTAACTATTTACTTTGATAAATGTCAAACTGTTACTTTTTTTTAAAAAATGTAGTTAATCATATTAGAATTTTTTTATTTATCTTGTTTTAAAAGAAATTTAGCTCAAGTTTACATTTTCAGACATTATAGATCTTAATTGTAAAAAAAGCTTGGTTTTATTCCTGTACATGAACTTAAAACAAACTTTTTAGAACTTTATTTAAAGAAGTATTTTTTTTCCTTTTTTCCTTAAATATTGTGGGACTAGTTTAAAATTAGTCCCGCAGTGGACTGATCGTAAAGACGCGGTTCGCAGTAGAATACCGAAGTCAAGCATCACTGGCTGCAGTCAGTAGGTGACCACTTTGATCAGACTATGTAGGGGCGGAGGGTGTGCGGTATCGGTCCTCGTTAAACTGTTCTACCATGAAGTGCTCGAGTTCGTGTGCAGGTCCTCAGGCTACCAAAGGAGAGAAGCCATCCCCTCTGCAGAGAATCAAAATTGTGATGGCATGTCTTCGAATCATCCTTCCATAAGGATTTTTCCTAGACTGGCGCCAATAACCCATTGTGCAGCTCTAGTGCGACGTAAATGAAGTGCCTACCTTGTTTAAAATTATATTACTTCTAGTTATGAATACAGAGATGATTGTGTTCCGGAAAAAATCCGGATTTCCGGAATTTTTGCTAATTGCGAAACGGAAGTTTCCGGAAATCCAAGGTTCAGAAGTTTCAAGAAATCATCGATTACATTTATGTATAAAAATTATTGTATATTTTATTTAGAAATATCAGAACTAGAATTTATACTTGGCATATTTTTCATTTGTAAATATTTTTTCTGGTAGAATAATAAATGTGATTAGAGATAAAAATAAACTTGGTATACATAATTATTTATTTAAATTATGCTGCATAAATTTATTTAGAATATCATGTTTTGAAAATATCGATAACTTAAATTTATAAGGACATTAATTTTTGAAATGCGTCATTAATGATTTTACTCAAGAAAGTTTCAGGATTTTTAAGTTGAGCTCATAATTACCCCTGTGAATATGATTTTGGGTAAAATTTAAAATTAAACTTAATTAAAATCAGTTAAAAATTAAGCTTAATTAAAATAAATTTTATAAAGAAAAAAAGTTATTATTGTTTGCATAAAATTATTAAAATAGTCTATATTTTTCAGACAACTCAGAATCTATGACAGTTGATCGAAGTCCTCGTAGTAGTACTACTCAAGGGGATAGTGCAATAGATTTCCATCATCCAAGACCTTCTCTCCATGAAATACTTTTAGCTGACAAAATGGACTTTGAAGCTAAACTGCAACGTGCTGGTAGACGTAAACATTGGTTAAAAGCTAATGAAGCATTAATTCGAACTTTGTTGAGTTATTGCAGTTTACATGGGGCACACGGGGGTGGGTTAGCAGCTGTTAGAATGGAATTAATTCTTTTACTTCATGAACTTCAGCAAGAACGTTCAAGGCAGCAACTTCTATCACCTTTGCCTTTTCCAACTACATTGCCTTTACTTGCAGCCAGCGTTGCATGCCAAAAGACAGTTGTTGCTGACCCCATCCGTCATTTACAGGTTAGCATGTGGCTTTATTTCTTTTTTGAAAACAGAACTTGAAACTATTTTACGTGTCATCTAAAATTCATCAGACTCTTCATAGAGCAAATTAAGGAGTTTTTAAACAATTAAGTTAAAATTTTGTTTCATAAAATTTTGCCTTCAAAAACGTAAATAAATATTTAGCTTTTTCAAAGAGAAAAAAATGTACAAAAATATACTTGTCTTGTGGGAAGCTAGATTTAAGAGGAAACTTCAGAAGAAATTAATAAAAGTTAAATTGAGTTTTTAAATTGAGTTTTTAAAGAAATTGACTTGTCAATTGTATATTTCATTTTGTATACAAAAAAAGATTAAAATTTGTAATAGTAAATTGTATAAGCAATCTTTTTCAAAAAATTTTTATTTGGTACAAAATCTGGCATTGTAATTATACAATATAATTCAATAGGAAATGTGTATTGCATTTATGCATTTGCCTTTATTAAAAAAATAATTATATTGAATTAAAATTTAAGTAGGAATACATTTCAATATTTAACATTTTTTGAGGTGCCAACTGTTAAGATTTATCTGTAATTATTGGAATTTCGTATTTAAGATAACGGTCTTACAGTTGAGTAATAAAAATTTCAGTTTATGAGAATTTGAGTAACAATCTGCTTAAAATAATTTTTTTCCCTTAATGACCTAGAGTTGTAAAATTTTATTGTTTGTAACTAATCTATAACTAATCTAGGCTAATTTTCATCATAAACAATTCCATAAACTATAAATAAATATAAGATAAAAATTATTTGATTGAAAAAGAAATTTTAAAAAAAAGCAAAGAAATTTTCTTCTCTTTCCAATTAGCTGAAATGTTGTACGCAAAAATTTTTAGTGGTTCAAATGCAGGATGATTAAAAGGAAAAAGGGCTAGTTCTAATTTAACCCAAAAACTGGAAAACGGATTTCTAGCTATCAATTTTATTGTATCATTTTATAATGAAGTATTAAGTTTCAGTGTTATATATAACTTTTAATTTGGTTCTAGCTCTATCTAAATAGTACAAAGTACTTATTTTCGATTTCATTTTTTTGTTCGATTTCATTGGGTGTTTTTAAAAGGTGCTTTATTTTCCCTTTTCGAAAATGAGATTTTTTTCTTTACCATGTCGATTTTCGCCTCTTATTATTTAAAAGCATGCTTTTCACATTGATCTATTCAACGTTTTTACAATTCATTCAAACACAATCTATATCGGCGACCCGTCGGTCTATAGCGTATGAAAGAACCAATCATTCTACATGCTTGATGAAATACTTGCGGGTCTGCATGTGCGTATACTCAGCTGGGTTCGATGAGATTCTTGCACTCTCATATGCAACTCTGCTTCATTTTCCACCATCTGATATCGAACTGAAAAGCCTCTTGATCTTTTTATAATGGCTAATATAATCAGGAAAAGAGTTCTTTGTCAGAAACTGGTTATTTTATCATGATCATGCGAATTCTTTGAAAACTATTTTGCATTTTGTTAATATATGTAGTGCTTAAAAATGCTTTTTGAGTGCTTAAAAAGTACTTAAAAGGTGCTTATTTTTTGTTGAAAGATTTGGCTACGCACCCTGTGCTACTTTTTTATTTAATAAGTAAAAACATGCATAATTCAATTAATATTATATACCTATATGGAATTAAGTATTATATACATCTTGAAATTATGCTAAGTTGAATATCTACAAATTAGTAGGTGTTTAATAAATGTATTTATTTCTGTGTTATTGTACTTCTGTTTGCCAAAAGCTTGATTAAAAAGTTGGCACTTCTGCATTTTTTGATTTTCAATTTATACGTTGAATAAATATTTTAAATTATTTTAATAGACTATTAAAGTTATTCTTTTAATAAATTTATGTCTGTAATGAAGTATTTTTTCACTATACTTCTAACGTTCCCCCAATTGCCCAAATTATTGGACATTATTAGCTAAAATCTGACGTTTGTTTACATTTGGGCTTTGTTTATACCTGCTTAGGTGAACACGCAGATTGCCACCAGAAGCGGAGCTGTCGGTTGCTCCGTCATATCGCATCTTTTTACTCCATAATTAAGGATTACTTTCTCAGTGTTTTCAGTAGTTAATATTAGATATCTAGTTGTTGGGATCAATAATATGTAAATTCTATGAGTAGATATCATGTTTGTATTCCAATGTTTATTATTTTCAAAGCTTGAATTAGTATTTACAGTGCTTATTATTTGCTTATGTGTCGTCGTCATTATAGTCCTGTAGATCATTGTCATTTTCAGTTAATGAATTACTTTTTGTTGTCAGCATGTTTTCTTTTCTTTTTTTATTGTATCCTGTTTATGTTTAAGTGCAACAATAAAAGTGATGTTCCAGTTTATGTAAGTGCCTGCTTTTCTTGACCTACATTATTTTGACCTCTAGCAACAGGGATCATGCTTTCTTCGCAGTCAGTGTTGCGTTAATCTGATGAAACTACTTTTCATGCTTTTGGAGAAGGGCATGTGGCAAGCCTGAATGACATGAGGGAGTTAGGATGTCACATACTTCTTTAAATTTGTCGAGTTTATTATATTTTAAAAAAATATGCAACATTTAAGTATACTTATTTAGCAGCACATAATATTTAAAAAAATATGCATAAATAGGATCACCTTACACATACTGTTTTCTATAATTTGTATTTCTTTCATTTGCAATGTAAGATAAATATAAGTGATAATTTTTTGTTTTTGTTTCAGTCTCTAGTCCATGATATCCTATTAACAATTATTGACATGTCAGAGCCCCCAACTGTTTCTAGTTCCAACTATTCACACATTATGGTTTTACGAGATCTGAGCACATCACTTTCAGCCTGTATTTATGAATCTCTTTGTGATAGTGATACTTTTATTGTTAAGCAAGGTGGTTCCAAAGGTCTTACTATGGAAGAACTAATTAGGTATTTTTTAATAATGCTTTTGTAGTTGTTAAATTTAATTATAAACATGTTTCAAAACATTTGAGGGTTAAAATGAAATGCTATTATTTATATTTTTCCTCTAAATAAACTGACATGTTAAGCGGCTGAGTTACCAAAAGTAGAGCTGATAGATTAAGCGAGGAAAATATATATTTATATTTGAAGTCAATCTAATTAAAATTGCTTTTTTTAACAAAAAAATTCTGGCACCAAATTTTGTGTTAAGTTGCATTAATATTAAACATGGGCATCACAGGTATCTAATTTTTGATGGAGATGAAATTAAAATACACAGTCATAAGAACTCTCTGAATAATATTTTGGGGACCAAATAGATATAATGTTCTAGAGGGATGGATTATTATATCAAGGTTTAGAATAAGATTTTTTTGAAATTTTACATTATGTATGTAGGGGTTTGTGGAGCAAGGGAAGAAAAAAAAGACAATAGTTTAATAATGAAACTTAACATTCAATAAAAAAAAAGGAAATAAGTTTAACAGCGATATCATGAACGGTGAGAGCTGCCTACACGCTGCGTTGCAGGAGAAAGAATGAATGCTAAATTAGATTGTTCTATGGAAAAGAGTTAACTTCGTTATTAATTCAAGACTTCTGGACATTGTGTCTCCATCTATCTGGTACTTTTCCCTTCCTGACTGTCAGCCGCCTTTCAATGAGGAAGTAGATGATGCGATTCGCCCAACATTATTAACTATATTACAAGTATTAACATTATTACATGTATTAACTATAAATCTATTTGTATATTATATAAAAATTTAATTTGCATAGTGGTAATTATGGTTAATTATGAAATCAGATAGGAATGTTACATCTGTGACTTCTTAAGAGATAAGTGAGGCAATTGTAAGAATGGAAGGTCTTGGGGGGGGGGATCTATGTACATCAAAGATGGGATATTGAAATCAGAATACAAAAGCCATTCACTGTGGTGAAAAGAAATAAGATAAGTACATAATCAGCCGTGAGATTTCTTTTGTCAGATAAGACCGGAAAAAATGGCAGAATATGATAAAATAAGATTTTTTACATTATTTGAAAACCTATAATAACTAGAGAAAAAAAGGTTAATATTTAGAAAAAGAAAATGTTTCATTGCTTCAGAGAATATCGCAATATTGAGAGGTGGATAACATTAATTCATATGCAAGTTCATCCGGACCACAAAACATTATTGTAACAGAGGGGGGTTGTTTTAGCGAGAGCTCAGTGTATTATTTTTCTTATGAAACACAAAAATGAATCTTTGTTTTTATATTATTTTTAAATTTATGTGTAGTAGATAAATATCACTTGTACTAACAATCATCAGATTATGCATATTGTACAGAAAATATATTATGCAGGATTTTATTAATATTTTTTTGATAAATTGTATGGGAATTAACAATGCATCAATTGTACAACATACAACAATAACAATAATTTGCTTGTACTTAAAGAGCTGACTGAGATAAGAACTTGGTTCACAATTGTCTTAACTACAATAATGTACAGTAGTTAACCAGAGTAAATGGCCATATGTTTATATCAAGTTACTTTAGTTATGCTTATATATGAGTTGTAAAAATATTTTTATCTTTTTAATACAAAAACAAAATATGCTCAATTTCAGCTTTTATTAGTTAAAAATTTATTGTTCACCTTAATTTTTATTATATTAAAATTTTAATAAAAAATATTAGAAATTGGATAAAAGTTTGCTTTTCTATGCAAACTGAAATGCGTAAATGGTTATTTGCCTACATATGACTCTCTCTAGAGCATATTATTTGAAAGAACTTGATAAAATTTTGTACGTAGATATTATGATTTATGCATTCAAGAATGATGTTTAAAATGATATTGCTTCATTCTCATGGTCATAGTTGCGAAATTTTTAAATGGTAACTACCACTTTTTTTTATTTATCAAAACGTAATCTTTACAGTAAAAAACCTAAAATTAAGTTTGAGCGATATTTTTACCATAAGAAATAGAGACCATTAGCTTTTGCCAAGATTTGCAATTTTTTGTGATCAGTAGTGAGAAGAGAATGTAATAAAAACCTTTAAAAGCAGAGAAAATATTACAAAGGAAGCATTTAGTCGTTTAAAATTATTTGATATGTACGACCTCACATGTCTTACAGATCCATAGTTTCTTCTTTTTTTTTATCACTTTCTGACAAAAATGGAATTGCTTAGTAAAAGCCTAGTGTTGTAATTTCTTGTGCTAAAAATACCCTTCCAACAACTCGCTTTTTACTCTTAGTATTACATATCAATTTAAAAAATGGATGTTGCTATTAGAAAATTTCAGAATTGTGTCATGTAATGTAACCTTGAAAGCTGTGTAATCATTTTTTACACCATCTTGAATGCATAGATCATAATACCTATTTACGAAATTTTATTCCTTTCACTAGAAAACGGTATGTTCTCTAGAAGGCCATATGTTGGCAAAGTTGTTTTATAATCACCCTGTATAAGACGCTATTATTTTTTTACACACTTTATCTTTTTTTTTTAAAAAAGGAAATTTTTTTTTTAAAAAAAATAGCATCTTTAAAAGCATTAGTTAATTGTAAAATTTTTCTTTTAAGAAATTAATTTTTATGAAGTATTATAATTCTTTGTGCATGCAGTGTTGCTAATACACAAATTATATTAGATGATTTGAATTTTTTCATTTATTTTAATTTTAGCTCTAGTGTTGTATATCAAAACAGTCATCTATTAGCTGGGCATCTAGGACGAGATAGACATTGTAGTGGAGAAGAGGATATGAAAGTTACTACTCCGCCTCACAAATGGCCAGGTTACAAATATTTACAGATTCTATTTTTCTATAAAAGTTTTTAGTTACGAAAATTCATTTACAAAATTCCAATTTTAAAGAAGATCTTACAACCAAATATGATATTTACACTTTTCAGCAACTCCTTTTTACAAGAATTTATTTTAAAAATGTTGATTTTTTAAATGTAATAAAAAGAAGCATATAAGTACGTCATTTTTGAGAGCTTTTCTCTTGTTTTAATTTTGCCGCTCAGACCATTTTTGGAGGTTTAAAGTTTGTTTTAAACTGTATTTAATTTAGAGGCATTTTTCCCCTTTTATAAAAAGTGAATAATGATTTAGAATGGTACCTTAATTTCTTTTCTTTTTGATTTTAAGTAATTCATCAATTTTACAAATACAGTATGAGCTCAAAAATACGGACTGCTCAAGGGGTTTGGAAAATTCTGGATTTTAGGGATTTTACGTATAAAAAAAAGCACATTTGAAAAGTACAGGCCCAAAAATAAAAAATTTTAGAATTCCATCTAAAATTAATATGATTTTTTCCTCATTTTGCCGGCAGTAATTCTATTTTCTCATGGGTTTTAAAATCTCAATATGTTCAACAGGATATTATGACACACTAACTTCATGAATACGTATCTTTTTAAAAAATTTTTTTATTCGTCATGATAAAATCGTAAATTCATTGAGTCTTGTTGTTTGATTTTGGACAGTTTTCAGAACAAATTTCTACATGATTCTAAATATTTCGATATTTTTGTTAGAATTTTCTAACAACACACGAATTTATAATCGCTCATTTAAATAATCATTTTTAACGCACTCAATTTCATAATAAATTTGCATGATATTATGATATTCTTTATGTAAATATATTATGATTATATTCAATATTCTTTACTTTTTGGTGTAAAAGTTAATGTTATTTAATAAACTGCATTGAGATCTTTTTATTTTCATTTCTGCATTGTGACTAATATGAAATTTTAATCTCTATTAGGTGTTGCTTCACTACGGGCTCTCTTAGCACAAGATAAAGATGAAGATTCACCGAAATTACATACCCTTTTGTGTGAAGCATTTGTCAGTATCTATCTCAGTCAACTCATTCATGCTCTGTCCACATGTGATTGTCATGTCTTGTACCGTTTAGCAGGCCTCAACTTCACTAAAGATACATGGGCTCTTTTGTTTGGTGGTGGAGCCAAATTATTACTTCATGTATCTACCATTAATTCATTAGAATCATCAGGTTCNCCTTAATTTTTTAAAAAAAAGTCCTTAAAAGTGCTTAATTTTTGTTTTGTTAAAAGAGTGGGAACCCTGACAATTAATTTGATTTGCATTAATTTAGTGCTTGATGCTATAATACTTTTATTATAGTATTTATTATAATACTTTTATTAAGTCAAAGTTTCTATAAAATTGAAATAAGTTAAAAATTTTGATAAAATAATGCCAACATTTTCTTCAGATGATAAAAGATTAATCTTTTTCTCTAATTATTAGTTTATTTATTTGTTTTTTTTTCCATTTAATTTTAAAACGTCAAACTTTTCAGATAAGTTTTTGTTTCAATTTAAATTGCAGTAATGTGAATATGAATAATTATATTTGTAATATAAAACGCTTTAGCAAATCTTTTTATATTATTTCTTTGTCTAAGTCTAAATTCTCTTTCCTAAATCCTTATTTAGAACAAAATCTGTTCATATTGTTAATAATTCACATCCTGTTTTAAAAATAGATCAAAGAATGCAGAGCTAACATTTCTAAGTTTTATCCTTAAGGAAGCATGAGATTCTGACAAATCCTTGTATTTATTTTATGGACCTATTATACTCATAATTAATTATGTTCCACTTTTTGACTATGATGTAAGATATGTTAGGGGAAAACTTGTGAGACTTTCCCCAACATAAAACTTAGACTCATAAATTTTTAGTATTAGGTTTTATTCTTTTTCAATATTCTAATCTAAATAAAGAATATCTAAATAAAGAGCATCTTTTTTCAAGCCTGCCTGATTTCCTGCATGCCAGAACACTCGACCATGAAGATCTTGTCATATATATTTTATGACCCTTTAACTAATCAGAATAATTCATTAGTTCATATTTTTGTGTAATGTTTTTGTTTTGTTTTTGTTGCTTACATTTATTTTCTATTTAGTTATTCAATTGTAATAGCCGTGTTGTAAATAAATGTATAAATTTCCTTTTAGTTTTAGTCAAGTAATCTTTTATATGATTTTGTTATGTAAAAAAATTTAAAACGGCTTATAGGCAAGTTTAATTTGTTTACTGGGACAATTATTAACTTATATAAATTCGAAACTAAAAAATTTTGTTTGAAGTAAAATTATTATTTTTGTTTAGAAGAAAGCAGTACTACTGAATCTGGCACCAGTTTACTGGATTCCCTCTCTCGACAGAGAATAAAGTTTCACATGAAGCTCCTTGGTCAGTTGGGACAAACTACCACTCAACCCACCATGAAGGAAGATAAACCCACGTTTAGAGAACAATTTGTTCCACCAAAAATGGCAATGGTTTCTTTGTTTATGTCCAAAGTAGGTTTTATTTTTCATTTTTTGTGTGATTGTTATACTAAATATGATGCTTGTTCTTGATTCTCTAGCAAATTAAAATGTATTTTGTTTATGCCTTTATCCCTTTCCAATTCTCTGACTCACATCTATAAAACTGTTTTAAATGTTGAATAGTAGCATTTTTTTTGATGAAGAGGGAAATGTATTAATTGTAATAGAAATTTGTTGCATATTTGAATATTTTTATTAAATGAATTTGGTAATTCATTTGCAATCAAAAATGAATTATTTTCTATTGCAAATATGTTTAGTATGCTATCTGTTAAAAAGTATTTTATGAGTTAAATTTGTTTAAGCTGTATGCATTGCTTATAGCAATTGCAATTGGCTAAAAAATGGAAATGAATAAATAATCAAAATCTTAATATCTAAAATGGCATAATCAATTTTGCTATAAACAGTGAAACAGATCATAAACCTAGTGTTACATTTTACGTATTGATAAGTAGACAGAATATTTCTACACTTATTGTATTTATCTGTCAATGATTTTAATTTGCTTTTTAAGATTCCCTAAATTGAGTTCAGATTCCAAGTTTTATTATTTTAATTTGTATCTGAAGCTGCTGAAGTTAAAAAAATTTAAATTTTAAAATATCTACTCATATATATTGATGTTACTAATCATGGTGCGTAGCGTTTTTAAAAAGTGCTTATTTTTGATTTTCGTTTTTTAAAAGCCCTTAAAGGAGCTTTTTTCATTGGGCGTTTCCAAAAAGTACTTGATTTTTCCTTTTCAAAAATGAGATTTTTTTCTTTACCATGTCAGTTTTCGCACATATTTTGCAAAAGCAGTGTTTTCGCATTGTTCTATTCAACATTTTCACCATTCATTCAACCACAATCCATTTCATCGTACCGCCGGTCCATAGCGTATGAAAACGCCAATCATTTTACAGGTTTGATGAAATACTTACAAGTCTGCATATGTGTCTACTGAACTGCGTTCAGTGAGATTCTAGCATTCTCTTGTGTAACTCTGCTGCATTTTGCTAGATGCAATTTCAGGCTTAATTTTCCACCCTCATTTTAAAAACTGAAAAAAGCTCTTAATCTTTTTATGATGGCTTATATAATCAAGAATTCTTTATCAGAAACTAGTTATTTTATCATGGTCATGTGAAGTCTTTGAAAGTCATTTTGTAATGTATATAGTGCTTAAAAATATTTTTGTGCTTAAAAAGTACTTATTTTTTGTTGAAAGATTTGACAGCGCAGCCTGCAATAACAGCTAAGTAATTAGATGATATCTAGTAATAAGATTTGTTTTAAAAATATGCAAGGTCTAATTGCTTAATAATCATATTAAATCTTGTTATAATAGGCACAGTTACCTCAAGAATGGCAAGAATTAGATTATGATTCAAATGCTTCCTTACCAAGTGATGAAGATGATGAGGTTGCTGAAGAGAATGATGTTGATGATGTATTTGGTGGAACTACTGATGACAATCAGTTGACTAGTAAACGAAAGAAAATTGGTTCAGATTCTGGTGGGTTAGATCAGCTTGATCCAACATCTTACACCTGGGGCATTCTTCGTTATGCTATAGTGAAACTTGCTCTGAAGCACGTCAAAACATACCTTAATATTGCTGGATTTGAAATGCAGGGTAAAAATTTTTTTAATTCATTATGCATGCATTCATTTATATTATGACTATAAGAAAATAGTATGTTTAAATCTTTTGATTTTTTTAAAGTCATCTTTGTAACTGTTTGTTTTAACTAAAGTTAATTACAATTATGTTTAGTTTAATGAAATAGAATGCTAAAGTTGTAAGAAAGTGATCACTTTTTTTTATCACTTTGGCATTTTAAGAAGAGATAAATTTAATATCTATGGTTATTGTATGTTAACATCTCATATCTACAGTAGCAAAAGTTTGCATTATACAATGTTTGTTTTGATTGTGTAAAATATCATTTTGGGCAATGAATCCTGCATCTAGGAAATAAGGTAGCTCGTTATCTTTGAAAAGAAAAGAAATTACATAATTTTTATATCTAGTGAAAATGCTGATTTTTTTTCTTTTTTAATATACTGTAGAGTTAGTAGCAAACATTTTGAAGACAACAAATTTAATTGCTTAATTAATTTTTATTTTGATGCTTAAACTATTTTTAAATCCTATTAACAGGGTTGCCACGGGTGACTAAAATGCGATTATTTTTGGCATAAGGCAACTATGGCGACTTTTTTTGCCTGAAAAGGCTAAAAAAGCAACGATTTTCAGGAAAAGGAGACTATTGGGAGACTTTTTTGTACTCCTAGCGATGTTTTTTAGCATAAATTGGGTTGACAACCTGCGGTCCGCGGGAGCTTCTGTACACAAAATTTTTTTTTTCTTAAGAAATTAAAAATTATTAAAATTTTGAATTGCGAATTTGAGTCATCACTTTTTAATGTGCACAATTTGTGCAGATTTCATTGTAAGTCTATTTTGTATCTCGATCGCTATTTCAACAGTTATTGCTACAAAATTTTGCATGATTTTAAAACTCCCAATTTTTAATACGATATTACGATGCATGAATTGTCGAATTTAAATCATCACTTTTCATAACATATATATCAATATAAATATATATATTTGCTTAATCAATTATCGATAAAAAAGAAATTTTTTTAGAAAAAGTAAGTTTTTTTTTAATGGAAAAGTATTATCTTAAAGGAATTTTAGCAATTAAAAGTATTTAATTTTTTATATAAAAATTTAGTGCCAGAAAACTAAAGTTTATATAAAAATTATCATATTTGCCACCAGCTTGACTAAATGAATCATGGTATATGACAATTAAGTCTTTTAATAAAATTTTTGTCATATTATTGAAATGTTTTTGTTCTTTTTTGAAATTTTTTTGCAACTATTTTCATACTTTTCAGCAACTATTTCCATGCTTTAGGCTACTAAAAGCAACTATGTTGTTCATTTTTTTCGGTGGCTACCCTGTATTAAATTACTTTGTTAAATAAAAAGCAATTTTTTGTATTGGAAAGCTATGTAGTGAAAGTGAACTTTTTTTAAAAAATTTAATTTCATAATCAAATTTTTATCTAATTTGATAATCAAAAAATTAATTTAAATTGTACATTTTAATTTCCACCCTATTTGATTGTCACTAAATTTAATTGATTTGATTTTCACTTAATTAATTTTTATTTAATTTATAATTTTTTTTTAGAACTACCTGTTGTAAGTCCACTGATTCAAGCTGTATTAAAATGTATGGAATTTTGGCTTAAAGACTTAAAAGAGTTCATGGATTCTTTTGAGGGGCCTCCACCAAATTACATTCCTGGTTGTTTTGCTTCTAATTCTCAAACTGGGCCTGCCTTGCTCAAATACTCTACACTACTTGAAATTCAAAATACTCCATTTAGGTATATTTTGTTTCTACTTGTTTGAATCTTAAGAATTGCTTTTTGAGTACATTTAGATCTCACTTACGGTTCTGAATCGTATCTAGTGGTTTATTTTATGTTACTGAATCAGTTAAGGGCCAATGTGTTGTGTGAAAAAGGAACAAGTCAAATTAATTATTTTTAATAATTTATACATTCTATCAATATTTCCATCTTGCTTACTACTTTTGTATTTTTAAAGAATGTTCATAGAGTAGTTTTTGTCAAGTATCTTGAAAATGACAGACAATTTAAAGAAATCAATTAAAAAAAAACAGAAGGAGTTATATGGTTTGTTACATTCTGTTCAGGTTACCGAGGTATTTATGTCCAGCAAGTTTCAGAAATTAATTACAAAGTTCGTCTTCAGATGGGGCTGCTGATTGAGAATATTGTAAAACAATGTTTTCTGTTTCATGCCATAGCAGGAATTTCAACTAAAATATTTTCATTGGGAATGGGTAGTGTTTTTTCCTTAGACAGTTTTACGTTGTTATCAGTCATGATTGATTTGTAAACATTGTATCATAGTTTTTCCTTATCGACAGCTTCATCAGTTGAAAAGATTTGTTACTAGTTTTGAAACTTATGTATAATAAATATCTAATAATAATACCTTATAATAAATACCTAATAATAATACCTTATAATAAATACCTAATTTTTAATTCAGGTCGCAGCAAATCGGGCATTTTTTCACCATTCTGATTTTTTTTAAGGGTTTTGCTTTTTTGGAACACTATTATCCAATACTCTTTTTATAAATTAAAAGTATTTGTAATTAAGTAAACACTTTTAAGAATACTAACATGCTTTAAATATTATGAATCTCCTTTATTCAGATAAATTTTGTTTAGAGAAACCATATATAACATATTTCCAATATTGGTTACTGCAATTTTTGTTTACTAATTTTTTTTAATTCCTTAAAAAAAACAGTAAAAAATTAATTTTTGTTAAAATTTTAGTTGCATGTTCATGTTATCTCCATCAACTGAATAAAATGTGTTTTTTTTTTCATCATAAAGCAGTCGTATGAAAAATATTTGGAAAAATTTACCCGGGGATAAAGCATAAACATAATTTTTATGAAGTGATGAAATTGTGTTTGTAAAGGAGATTTAGAATTGCAAAGTAAAAAAAAAAAAAAATTGAAAATGGAAACATTGGTTGCAACAGCTGGCTAATATAAAAAAAATGTCCTATGAGTAATGGTTGTTAAAAAAATAATTAAAACAAGGAGAAATATTAATAATTAAAGAAAAGAAATAAAATTGCAAGAATAAACAGAAAATGCAAGAGAGAAACAGAATTTTTTTTTAAATATTACTTTTTTACTATCTGTTTTAGTACCTTAATGCCGAAAATTTGTTTTTTGTATTACAGTATTTTCTGCTGTAATAAAAATCTAAAATTACAAATTTAGAAAAAAAAACATAAAAAGGCCATTAGGGTTCATCATTCCTTTTTTGATTTATTTTTTTGCAATTTGTTGAAGAAACAAGAAGAAAAATCCATGTTGTCGATAATACACGTTTTTTTTTTTTTGCTTGCTGTTTATGTAATTAAACAATTCTAATTTAAATGAAACTCCATATCAGGATCCAAATATATTTATTTATTGTAATGTATCATACATGTAAATCAGTTGACAGATAGTGTGTCAACGTTATTGTGATTACCTCAAGTTGGCTCACATAAAAAAAAACGGAAATTATTATTAGTAGATTCATTTTTATATAATTTGTATAATTTTGAATAATAATAAAAGAAAAGGAATTTTTAGAAGCATTTCAGAAGAGGTTACAGCTCTTGTGTTCTGATAAATGTGACAATACCTAATTAAATAGTGTTTATTAACAGACCTTTCAGTAGACAGGAATAATAATTATTAATAGACAATTGGAAGAGATCCATTATTAGCATAGAGAAATCATCATTGCCAATAGAGCTAACTCCACAGTACCTAACATTGATATTTTAAACAAGTTAGCAAAAAAATGATATCCCAAAATTCTTTAAGGGAATTCTAAAGCAACTCAATAATATATTATTCTATAAAAGTGGCTGAAGAAAGAAAGATGAAAAATAAAAAGGAAATAAGAATTAAAAATAATTACAGATTTCAGAAAAAAATGAAATTAAAAAGCTAGGAAATGTCATGCATAATGGCATTACAAGATATTGGTGATTATAATGTGTTTAATTTAAGGACATTTTAAACAGCACAAATCAAAACACTATAAAACACATTTCCAAATTTTTTATTATTTTTATCATATGTTGTTGTAATTAAACATTTTCTGCAAGTGCCACTTTCTGATATGGGACAACTCTTCATCCCATTCTTTCTCCTCTCTTTCTAGGGAGAGGGGTGCAGTTATCAAATTTAATACCTGATGTATTTTTTTTAAAAAAAACTAATTTAATTTATTTTTATTCTTTATCACAATTTCATCAATATAATATCAGAATTGATTGTAACTTTTATTGTTTTCACCATTATAATCTAGGAATAAATATGTATTATGTCTAGGTCAAACCATCGAGTAGTTTTACCTGTGAAACGGTTGTGGAACTTCTTAGTTAGACAAGAGCATGTTCAAGATATATTTATCCGTTATATTTACCAATGTAAACCTGTACCAATACCAAAGGTATTTAACTTGTTTAACTTATTGTCATTATGCTTTACAGTATGAAATAATAGAGAAAAATTATATCTTTTGCACTGTAATCCTGTAGGATGAAGATCAAGGAATTGATGGTGTGGAAAGTAACTCCAACAATCAAAATATTGTTAGAGTTATACACAAAGATCAAGATACTATTAATACTTTCTGCATAAATCGAGTATGTGCTTTAGTTATATTTAAATTTTCATTGCTATTATATTTTTAGGTATGTATGCTAGGCATAATTCAAAAGAATATTAGTGTTGTCCAAATTTCAGTGTTCCCACGGTTCAGGGAGAACAGGAAAAACCTGGAATTGTCAGGGAATTTTTTTTCAGCTCCAAAAATCAGGGAATGGTCAGGTGAAGTTGCAATTTTTTTACAAAAACCTGGAAAATTACTTCATTATACCTGGAAAAAAACCAGTCTTAAAATTGTCAGTAACAGTACTCAGTTGTTGTGATTCGAGTTAAATAATTCTAACATCTATTAAAATTATTTATTGTAAAAATTTCACATTTTAGACAAACTGAAATGCTTCCTTCCTCATATAATATTTATTTTACTTAGAAAATGTAATACTTGACATTACATATAAAAGAATCGAAAATTTTCTGATGAAAAATTTCGTAGCACAGATAAAATATGGTATTGATTTTCATTGAAATTTACCTGATATACCTGGAAAAGTCAGGGAATTTTTTTTCTGAAATTTAGTGGGAACCCTGAAATTTTGATGATTCAAAAATAAAAAAAAAATCTTAAAAATTACTATAGAAAATATGCCTATAAATCTGAGTGAAAAATGTCTTGATAATTATGACACTAGTCATAAGACTCTCACATTGCATTTGTATACATTTCCTGCAAAAACTCATTGGTCAAACATGCCAGTGAAATCAAATACTACAAATATTAAGTATTATTAAAGTCTTCCTTGAACTCTTGTTTTTCAGTAGTTTTGAAGCATGGTTTGTTATTATTACTTTTAAGTTGGTTTTTTCCTTTATACATTTTAATTATTTTAGTTTACATTAGATAAAAATTTCAAATTTTTAATGATTGTGAAATTTCTTAATATTTCTGATCTCTAACAAAGTGAATCATAAGTATACTCTCAAAAATATGTAGTGTTTTTAATTTTGTTTCATAGCAATAAAATACATTTTATTTCAATTTAATTTCATAATTATTAAATGATATCAAAGTGCACTTGAGAGCTATAATATTGTTTTTTTAATGTATTTTGATGTATTTAATTAACATTTTCAAAAACAAGTTTCTTTTTAATGAAGATAAGTTTAAATAAATCTTTTTTTGAATTATTGATTGTAATTTTTTTTTTCAATTTTCAATCTTAAGTTTTGGGATGTGTTACCAAATTTATCAGTATTCTTTTCTATTTGATTTTCCCAAAAGTATACTGTAAGAATTATACATTTTATGGAGTGTGCTGATTCAAGCCATATTTATTATATTTAGGGAGATCAATTTGGATATTAAGTTAAAATCAATATTTCTATTAAAGTTTGTAGCTGTAAATACACTGAATTAAAAATACTGGCAGATCTCTTTAAAAATACAAGTTATTCAAGATAAAACTTAACATGTAGCGTTGTATTTATTGTGAACTCTGTTACTCAAGAAATTCAATTTATATAAAATCTTATTTTAATAATTTGATGTAGTGCCGAAGTTATATATTTTAATTATATTTGCTATTTCAGTTTTTAGTATGTGATTTGAACATCTGCAAAAGTAAACTTAAAATTATTCTCTTAAGTAAGTTAAGATATCTAAGTAAGTTTTGATAAATTTACTATAGGTAAAACCTGGTATAATAGCATTAGCTACTACAAAAGAAATTCAAGAAATTGATGTATCGACACTTCTTCAACCAGTTCCATGGTTGAGAGAAGAAGCTGAATTTGAAGCTATGAATTTATTAAGGTACATTTTTTCTTTAAAATTTTTATTTTATTAATAAATTTTTTCATTAATTGATTGTCATTGTTTTCATAGTATTATATAATTTCATTTGAATACCTAATATGATTAACAATTGGTAAAAGTTAATTAAATCTCCTGATGAGAAAAGGATATTTTCAATCAGCTCTTGAAAACAATTAAACTGTGAGAAATAATTTTTCAGTTAATTCCATTTTCAGATTAGAAGAGGCATGTGAGAATTTAATATAATTTTTCATATTTTTTTATGAAAAGTTATTTTTTTTGTTGTCATCTAAAATAAGTTCATTGTGGCATCTTTTTACGATGTGAAAAAAAAATTATAATCCAAAGAATTAGTTTCTTGCATATTATAATATAACCAGCTTTGAACAGCGAACCTAATTCTGAATTTTCAACTATCAATGTATTTGCGCAGCCTTGTAATTTTGAACCCAACACAGAAGACAAGATAACTTCTGGATCAAGCATTGGGACAAGCTAGCCGTTGTAGAGTATCAAATAAACCTTTGTTTTTTATGGAACTAACCCTCATTTGCATCACATAGAGAAGATAACCTCTCACGGTAAGCCCAACACCAAGGGGATTCTAACCCATGATTCATCTACTACTGAGGATGTTTTACATCAATGTGGTAATTTCAGCCAGGAGCTGAATTCGAATCAAACAGCCACTGTTGGGATTCAAATCTGAATCACTGCATTGGTGGCAAACGCTCTATCCCCTTAGCCACCCTGGCTCAGTTTCTTACAATCTCTTTATTTTTGAAATATAGTTTATTTATTCCATTTGACAGTTAAAATAATATTACCACCTACTTTGATTGAAATTATTGCATAAAATGATAAAATAAATGTTTAATCTTGATTGATTTAGGGTCTATTAGTAATCTTTTCCATCTTTTTGATTATTTAGAACCCCTGATAATTTACCAGCCACAGATTACCTAGTTATTCAACACCCACAGGACTCTTTAACAAATGCTTCTGCTGTATCCACACCAACTGGGTCAACTCCTTCTGTTGGAGCACATTCATCCAAAAATGTAAAATTCTTTCTTGTGCATTTTTCTAAAAAACATGCTTATAGAGTAATTAAGAAATAATAGCGCGAAACTTCTACTAATCTGTAGAGGAACCTATTAAGATTATCTATATTAACAGTTCTTACAAAACTTGGCTGAATGACTTGGGTTAGTTTAATTTTAAAATATCTGATAAAAATTAATTTATCTTCATAATTAATAAAGGAGTTCTTTTGCATCAGACTATATAAAGAGTTCGTTTATAAAGTGAATTTTTCACTGTTCCATTTCCTTTTAATAACCATATAATGCATCATATGCAGTTTTATAGATACATAATTGTTACATTATTTTTTTAGAATAGTGTTTTAGATTTTATGAGATTGCTTCTCTTTAAAAAAAAAATTTAGATTTAGTTAAAACTAGTGTAAATAAAAATTAATGTTAAGATTTTGAAAAGCATATAGCATTTTTTTTTTTTTTGAAGAAGAGAAAAAAAACAGTTTATAAAGTATGCTATAAAGTTTTCTGTCAATATTTTTCTAGTGTTTAAATGTATACTAATAAGTGAAGGTAATACAAGAGTGATTCAGAAAATTGACTTTCCAGTTTTCTAAAGTAATTTGATGTTGATCATCTTTATTTATGCCATATCATATCTCAATCTGAAAGTTTTTGGTCACTTTTTGATTGTGCACAAATGCTTTTCAATTTTATACAAATCTGATTAGAACTATAACATCTTTCACTGTCCACACTTTAATTTTATCATCACATTATTAAAAGAATAGAAAAAAGTTCTGTGTAATTTTTAGATTTTATAATTCATATTATCTTTTTACATGCAATATATTTAGTTTTTACATCCAATATATACAGTATAAGGAATTTTTTAGAGTTTTGAATTTACCAATGATGATAAAATAGTTTTTTATTAATATAATAATATAATATATATAAAGTTGAACCCAAATAATTCTGTTGTAACAAGCAATTCTAATAAAATTAGCTTAAAATATAGCTATTAAAGAAGCAGGTTTAGAAACAAAGCTCATTTGTGTAGAACTAAGAAATAAAATGTTTTTTTTATACATATTATTCTGCAAATTAAATTATTCTTGTCATTTCTAATTTAAAATAATTTTAAACATTAATGATAAGTTTTTTTACTATTTTATTCTTTCTGATATTTTACAACAAAATGAATGATATAATAATAAATTTGTAAGCCAGGAATAAATTGAGGTAAGTGAACACGATTTATATAGCTCAGCATCACATCTTAATTGCTCTAGTACAAATTTCATTTTTGTATTTCTTTAAAGAATCTATCATATCAACTTGTTTCAAAGAACAGTTAAGGAGTATTTTTTTGTTTTCATAATGCTTGGCTTCTTGTTTAGGAAACTAACCCATTTTATTCTTTCTTCTTTTACTTTATAATTCCTTTTCTACCTAATTCTTCCTGCTATGGCTACTCTTTCTGCTAACTGTACTACTACTTTCTCCATTCATTTTGCTGCATCTTGTAATGCAAAAGATGAAAGGTCTCAACTTTCCTGGCTGTACTAACCCCCAATTCTGCCAATTAGTTTTACAAAGAAGCCGTTATATGTTAAAACCGGTAAGTATATATTTTATCATTTGATTGCTGTTGTACTCATTAAATTTGTGGCTGTCAGTTTAACCTGGCTTGCTTGGTACTTCTAAAGCTCTGTCCCCCTTTATGCAAATCGTGAAATATGCATCCTTGTTGATTTGTATTGTGTGTGCATATGCTTATTAATTGGCTGAGATTTAAGTTTTTCTTTTGTGAATTATTTATTCATTAATGCTTTACATTATAATATAATTTAACTAAATTATATTATAATTACAGTATAATTTAATAAGTATTAGTATTGATATTACAGTATAATTTAGCCCATTTATGTCTGAATTTTTTCTATGCCGTGACGTGAAAAAAAAACTCCTGTTAAACAAGTGTTGTTTTTTTTTTTAAATTAAATTAATATTTTCTTTTGTTAACTACTACTTAATTTTTGAAAAAAAAAATCAAAAACTCTTGCCTGATGTAAAAATAATCTTCTTTCAAATCAGAAAAATTCTCGTAGAATTATTACTATTCCCATGACATATGTCACACTGGGTCAACATGAGTTTTAATTTAATTTTTGGCTGGTTACTTTTATATATTATATTAATTCCCTCAATAACTTAAAAATGCATCGCTGTGAAAGGATTAAATTTGAATTCTACTAAAACTTAATCTTCAATATCTTATTGAAATAATAAAAAAACTATAGTAGTTCATATTAAAAAAAATATTAACAATTATATTTGATTACTGTTTAAACCTTCACTTACACTTCTGGCATCAAACATTGTTCTTATTATTAATTATTTGCTGCTTGTAAAAAATTTGCAGTTTCTTTTTAAATTGACAAAACAGTAGTACAAATTTTGAATTAAAACTTAGTGTTTTACTGTTTCTGTTCATTTAGATTTTGATTTATTTAATTTTTCTAAAAACTGAAATGAATATTTTTTTTATAGCTAAAGAAACATAAAATTGATGGTGTTCGGAAATTAACATCTCATCCCTTGATGCCTGTTTGTAAGAAATTTCTTTTATTTTTATGTATATTTTTCTTACTGTTTTATGTTAAGGATTTGGAGAAAGAGCTCACCCTTTCTTTGAAACAGATTGATTTTTCTAAAAATTAATAGAACAAGATTATACTTTGGAAAATAATTTTTTTAACTATTATATATTTTCCATACTGTCTATTTTTTAATCTATTAAATATTTTTGATTTTGAAAAAGATTTTTTTTTTTGTCTTCTTAGTACTTTTTACAAATCATATAAATCACACAATTTCTCTTATTTTTTCTTACAAATTGTACATTTTTCCAATTTTTTTTTAAATATTTGTCTGTTTTTATCTTTCAATGTGGTTGAAATAAATTAAATAGAGCACCTTGATTCCATGAAAACTGAATGGGGTTTGGTTGATCTCCACTTCAATAATTATAATTTCAGAACTCCGCTTGGATTTTAAGTTACAGTAGTTTTATATTCATACATATTCCTCCTCACTTCAAATTGGTGTTATCGTTGTTCTTGCTCTATTTGCGGGTAAATGTATTGCCTCGATCCATGTTTTGCAAATTGCTTTAAATTTATTCATAACAATCCTTTACCAAGTTGTTTTAGGCCTTCCTCTTTTTATTGCCCTCAAGGTTCCATTAAAAAATTTGGTGTATTAGCTTAATAATTATAATATAACTGTTGATAACTGTTTGTTATGGTGTCGCGTGCCTCGGCATTCTCCTCCAACCAAACTGAAGTGATGAAAACCCAGCCGGGTAAACCGGTTGGAAACCTACTCATAATCACTTCCCAACTGACTCTCGTACAGAGAGCATTTTCTATTTCATTCATTCATTTCATTCTCTCTTGTGCTAATCTGGTTTATCTTATTTTAACAATGTAAGCTTTCAATTATGTGAACCATATATTTTATTGTACATTAAACTTCCTTAACTTTTAAGCTTTTTTTCTTTATGTCTGGTAATTTGCTAGTTGAATAATTTTATTCCTTTTTTTCTCATTCAATTTAAAAATATAGCATGTGTTACTCTTAACTTTATAGCACACACGTGCTATAAGCAACATTTCCATGCTCGTGTGAACCCTTGAAGAAATTTGCAAGAGTATCAAAATGTTAATGCCTCTAAGTTAAGAGATTAAAAAAATTCAAAAATAAGTAAATGTTAAAATGGATTTAAGTAAATATACTCATGAAAGAGCTTTGATACGTTTTGTATGAACATATTTTATTTTTGCGTGAACTTGACAATCTTTTGCAGATCTCTCAGGTTCTCAAGATGGTTCAGTCAGCCTATGGGAATGGAATCATGCACAACCCATTTCATCACCCAGGCAAGCTGGAACGTTTGCTAAAGTCACCAGAATTTTATTCAATCTTCAAGGCAATAAAGTAAAGATATTCTCTGAATACTAACATCATACTGCAATGTTTCAGTTTTTTTATCATTAATTTTAATTTATAAGATTATAGGAACTTAAGTTCAGTGTTTAAAAAAAATATCCTGTTGAGAATAACACAGGATAGCAAAGATTTTGTCGAATTTATACAAATACTGATTCCGGTGTGGAAATTTAAAATTCGTTTTGCTCTTAAAGCTACAGATTTTTCTAAAACGACATTTTCAGTCTATTTTTTGACGAATTGTACTAAGTTTTAAAACATTATATGTTAAAGGGAGTCACATGAATGTTGCAACAAACTTCTAGGGGAGTTAAGGACATCATCAGGATTAAAATTGCATAGGAACCTATGTCGTCTTATATGGCTTGGTTCATTTCCCTATCGTGACCTGTTTAAAAGCACACACACACACACAAAAAAAAAAACAGTTCATCATAGGAAAGTGCTCCTAGCGGCATATGACATTTTCAGGCATGGGTGATGTGTCTTTATTTCCCTAGAAGTTTGTCACTACATTTATGCAAACCTTCTTTTATAAATAACACTACCACAAAAATAGGTTAACTTTTTTTTTCAAAAAAATTTTTAGCTTGGAGAGAGAAGCAGATTGCTGATTAGAACTGAGAGATGCAAAAATATCAAGAGGTCATAAAAATCTCATGAAACAGAAGAAGAAAAAAAAAATTTCTTTTGTGTAATGACTAAAAAGCACTAAAATGTACTTCTTAAAATGGTTTAAAAGCTCCTTGATTTCATACGTATTAACCCTTTTCAGGGCGAAAAAAATTGGATAAACATTTTAGACCAATAGAGTCCCAAGAATTAACCTTTTATGTGCTTTTGAAATCAGCCTTATGTCTATACATTTCAAAATTTAGGGTCGTTGAGGAAAAACTACAGTTGGCTAGGGTTAAGACTATTGCCTTTTTAGTGATTTATATCGCGCTCCCCAACCTTTACATCATTGCTAACCAGTCAACATTTGATAATTTATCAAGCCCTGCTGAAGAGGTGAGAGGACGCTGATTGTTTATGTTTTAGATTGTTTCGATTTAATAATTTTGAATTCAATTGCCATACCTTCAAAATAAAATACAATTACATGCACGGTATTGGCGGGGCTTTAGGTGAATTATCTGAGCTCCTGGTTAACATCTTGTCCATGGAAAGTTGTATAAGCCCGATAGAAATACACAACAGTAAATAAAAGTAATTTAATGCTCTTTGGGTTCCTTGGACCGATACTGGTACCAATTACAGCCAGTAGGAGACCACTTATTTATTATTGATGAAAATGAATGATTTAAAACCTTTAACTTACAAAGGAGTAAAATATAGAATTATTAAACAATAATTTTATGAAAGATTATTAAAATAAGTTTTATGCGTTTTGATGTAAATAATAAATAAAGATCTAACCACTGTTTTTTAATTAACTTAATGCATGTTGTATTTGATACTAGAGCTGTGCATTGTGCACTTTGCTATGACCAGATTCGAAACGATATCTCAAAATTCATTTTTAAAAAAATCAGCTTTATCAATAACTTTAAATTTACAGGTCTTTAAATTTCAATGTTTTATTAATTAAAAAGATAAATTTTGAAAGCACATGAATGGGATCTGTTCTTATGCATGAGCGATTTATTGCATTCTTAATGAATGAAAAAATAGTGTTAGAGTGAGTATATTTTTTCCACAAGTAGACCAAAATTATGCATGTTAAAACCACATGGTAGTAGGACTTACAACTAAAACATTCAAATGAGCTCTTAAACATATATTTTTCATTTTCACATTATTAATGCTTCTACATAATTTTAACTGCAACAACAAGTAATTTTTTTAAAAATTTAACTTGTTTTCACTTTATCTGGTTATATAACTTGGCATTTTTATGAGAAACTGGTTAAGAGGCATAACAGGAAAGGAATAATTTTGGTTTGATTCACTGCCATCTCAATTTTCTTCTGATTGTGAATTATCTGTGAATTTGCCTCCTTGATGCTTCCTCTGATTCTGTTTTGTCACTTTCTTTACACTGCTACTAAACGAGGTTGTTTTTTTTTAATTCACAAAAAGCATTGTTCTGTTTGGCTACATTAGTCTTCATACAAAAATAATCTAAATTTTTGTTTAACATTCCTAATAGCAAATTTGTATTAATAGAGGAATATATTTTTATTAAATTCCTATTAGTATTTTCAAAACTATCCTGTGCAGTATTATTGAATATACTTTCATAATTCTTGCCACTTTTGCTTTGTAAACTTTGTGCAGGGAGAATTACTTTTTTTTTCTTTCTAGTTTGGAGTTACTGATGGAGATGGTATTATTAGTCTTTGGCAAGTGGGTCTTGGCCACGTTAGTAATAGACCCTTTTTTGTAAGTACGCTTTCATCTCTCACTAACTTGAGATGCATTGTTTTCATGAATTATAATAATATTAAGATACAGTCGGACCTCTATTTAACGAAGTTGCTTAATCCTGATAATAACTTCGTTGTATGGAAAATTCGTTAAATAGAAAATCACCTTTTGAAATACTTAAATGACACAAAACAGATTTTAAATTCATAAATACTAGACATAATTAAAATAGCAATGGATGCACCTTTATCTTGTAAAGTAGTATCTACTATTTATTTCGTAAATCTTAATTATAAAAGAAATCTGCACGGAAAGCAAGAATAGAGCAAAACATTATGCAGTGTTACACTATCATGCTACATACATTTTCAACTGAAAAAAGCTAAATTTATGCGTAAAATTATATCTGCATTTATTATAAAAGTAATTTTAAGCATATATTACCACATGGGTTCTTAAGTCAATTGCTACTGATAAAATCGGTCAATTTCGTTTGAAATGCAAACAAAGAGGGAAAAGGATTTTACATTCTTTAAAAGTTAAGTGGCTTTGAAAATCAATTCAAGGGCATTTCCCCCATTAAATGCGTTAACAAGTTTAAAATGTTCTGAAATATTTTAGGAAATAGGGAAAGTGAATCTCAAAGAAAATTTCATTAAATAGAAAATTCACTTCACTATTTGGAAGTTATTTCACAAAGAAATTTCCAAAATGTTCTTGGTTCTTCGAAAAAATTTGCAAAAGGGAAGTTCGTTAAATGGAAGTCAGACTGTATTTCTAATTCTATGCACTGTAAAAAGCTTATTGCATTTGTATAAATGAAACATAATATGAAAACCTTTAATTCTGTAACTATAGATGTAATTCTATTTTTCTTTTTTTCCAATTGCATTATTGAAGGAAATTTCAATGTTATTGAACTTTGGTACTTTCTCAAACTACTATGATAACTACTTAAACTGTGATCAGAAATTTCATGGATTTAGACTTAACAGCAAAAACCCTCCAATCCTGGACAGGAGCTCTTAAAAGAGATTCCTGACCTCAGTAATGAGTGCGTGTTTGAAACTCCTGTCTCCTAAGGGTTAAAAAAACTAGAAAAAAAATTTTTTTATGGTGTAGAATTTTAAAAATGAAAATGTTTTTCTCATATTTAATCGTAAATAAATTAAATAAAGATAATTCTACAAACATAATTTATATTGTGTTAAGTTGCAGATTAGAGATCTTTCAATTTGTTATTGGTGTTGTACAATATTGTTTTTTTTTCTGTGAAAAATATAGTCATACATATTTTTTTTAAAATTATTTTTATGATTGCATATTAAGTAGATAATATATTTTAAATGAAGTTATTAATAATAATGCTCGTTAAATTATGTTTTAAACACCTTATTTGAGTCAATTATATCTAAATTAACTTTAAGGAAGTCTTAATGTTAAGCCTTATTTTTAAACTTGGAAAAATAAAAAGTTTTATAGACTTAATATGCAAAATTTAGAGTATTGTAAGATCATTATTGACATGATTATTGAGCAATAGCATTTTATTATTTAATGGTGTCAAATTTTAATTTTAGCTATAAAAAAAAATATGTGTACTGAAACAAAGGCTTCTGAAATATACAAAATAGTGCTTAAAACCTAATTATTTTCATGTAATGCTAAGTTGAAGAACAATTACATTACACTAAAATAATGGAATGTAATATTAAATAGGTACAATATTAAAGTATGATCTAATTTGTTTTTCTTTAATTGTGCTTTTTATTTCAGTCTACACAGTGCCATTCTAAACAAGCAAATGATTTTACGTTCCTAAGTTCATCTAGTCTTATAGCTACTGCAGGCCAGTCAGCAGACAATAGAAATGTCTGTTTATGGGATACTCTCCTCCCTCAAGGAAAATCCTTGATATCAAGTAACTCATTTAAACTTTTAACATTTATAATATTTATGCATTTTTTTTTTTGTTTCATTATAATATTCACTTAAGCTCTTTAATACATTGGTCTTCAACTAGTGGTATGTTTACCATTATTTTTACATCATCATCACCCAACCGTGACCGAGCCTCATTTTCAAAACTCTATATTTTAACAGCCATGGTAGGAATGCCATGTAGATTTGGCCCTGATCAGATGATGTGGACAGTGCCTGAGTTGGTACCCCCTCTACCCAAACTTCCACATCACAACCAATTTAACCTGCACCTAACTGTGTATACATGCTGGTTGTTTTGTTGGCTGCCATGATTGAACTCACTACTGCAGTTTTCCAACTAAGGGTGCGAACTATGTTTTAACCGACCACGAAACCGGAAACATCATGGTGTCTGAAGGGAGTAAAACATGTTTGACAAAGAAATTAAAAATAAATCTAAGTTGAAACAGAATTGTCTGAATCATTCTTATATGGAAACAAGCATTAAATTTAACCTTCCAAAACTACATTAACAAACATGAATTTGGCTAAAAGTGAGGAAAAGAAATTTCATTGTCTAAACAAGCACTGAAATATCTCATTCTCCTCCTTTTAATTTTTGATTTTGTATTTAATCAATAACTGCTCTTTTAATGATGTCACTAAATTGTGCTGCTCCTTTTATTTCCCTGCTTAGGTGCAAATAGACTCATTTATAACTTAAACTTTGCTTCATTTCTAAAAAAATCATTAATTCTTAAAAGAAAAAAAAATTCTATAAACAAAAAAATTTTTTCATTTGACCTATGTTTTTTCTTTTTTTACACATTTTCTTTAAATAAAACTTAGTTAACTATTGATTTTAGATGATTAGAGTGTACTCTCATAAATATTTAATTTTTATGACTAAAGTTAAGATTTGCTTTCATTGTAAAGCTAAATGCATGAACTCTACAGTGACAAAGAGATATAACCAGTTTAACTGCAATTAAGTTATTAATGTTTGAATTTAAATCCTATAAGATCATTACTATCATTAAATCCTACAAGATCAATCTGGTTAAATCTTACAAGAGCAACAATATTAAATTAGGTTTATTTTATTATATAATGAATTATTTTAAGACTATTACATCCTAAGCCATACATGTTTATTTATTTTTGTTGTTGTTGATTTTATTGTTTTCTCTTGTTAATTTTTGTAAATATTTCAAGCTAATTGCTAAAATTAGAAAATGTATATTACATTCATTGATATGTAATGTATGTGAACGTCTGCATACAATAATCATCCCGATATATTACTAAAATTAACTTTAATACATAACTCATGAATTTTCAATTTTTTCTGCCATTTCATGTTTAGACATGTATGTAGAGACATCAAATATATATATATATATATATAAAAGAATAGTCAGCCGATTCAAAAATAAAACTTGCAAAAAATTTTTTTAGGTTTTCAGTGTCACGAAAGTGGATGCTCTTCAATATTATATGCTTCTCAAAATCATATACTTATATCAGCTGGAAAAAAAGGCGATATATGTATCCTTTAAATGTTTATATTTTCATTTCAAAATATTATGTATGTCTGTTTTATAAATTTTTTTCTATTTAATATTTGAGGCAGTGTTAATTAAAAACTACAGTAAGCTGCCAAGTCTGTACAGTGGGTGGAATCTTCCACCTATCACAGCTTTGGAGTTGTAACCATTGAAGTGTAATTACAGCTCTAAATTTCCTCCTCTAATATGTTTTTTTTTTTTAAAATTTTATAACCGGCGTTGAACAGCCGACCCAAATTTTGGGTTTACCACTGCTAATGTTAAACTCCGTAGCCTTGTAAGTTTGAACCAGTCCAGAAGACAAGGAAACTCCTGAATCAGTACCCCCAAAAGGGATAGTACTGATTTGTTATGGGAACATTGAGGACTTTGCAACCAGACAGATTTAATGTGCATTAGTAGTCACCATTTACTACACCGGGAGTCTTTGGCCGGCGGGGATCTAACTCACGACTTCTTGGCATGGTCCCAGTGTCCTACCAACTAGGCTATCCCGGCCTTCCTCTAACATGTTTATGAAATTCATGATAATTTTAAATATTGCATATGTCCATTAAATTTTATGTACGGTTATGTTTATCTAACTGAATGTTTTTTTGAGCTGGAAAATATTTTGAGCATCTGCAGCCTTGCAACATAATAAAAACATGTCTCCATTAATCATTTATCTGGCTGGTCACCATTTTTTTTTTTTTTTTTTGAAAACAGGCTTATATGCATAAAATGCTGGTTTATTTGAAATGATGATTAAGATAAATGTGACAATATGATATTAAGAGCCTTGGGGTTCAGGGGATAGAGTGAGCCTTCCAATGAGGTGAACTAGGTTCGAATCCCAGTGATGGCTTGTGATAAGAATTTTACTCCAACCAATTTTGAAGTAAAACCGTCAGTGGTAGAGGGATCATGGATTAGAGTCCGTTTGCTGTCAGGCTAAATGTGGGAGATTTTCATGGTTTTCCACTCAGTGTAACACAAATGCAAGTTAGTTCCATCAATGAGTCCTCAACAAAGGAATATTTTACCCAATACTTGATCCAAGAGTTCTCTTGTCTTCTGGGTTGGGGTTCAAAATTACAAGGCTATGGAGTTAAAACATTAGTAGTCTTAAACCCAAAATTGGGTCAGCTGTGCAACAACTGTTCTAAAATAAAATATGTTATTGGAGTTGTGGGGAATAGGGAGCTCGCTTCCCAATGGCTTTGCTTCGAATTCCAGCGATGGCTGGTCCATATGAATTCTGCTTTTGGCTTGCATTGACTACAGTACTGGCATAAAATATCCTCAATAATTATGAGTTAGAATCTCTTCGCTGCTGAACTGACCGTGGGAGGTTTGTGTTGTTTTTCTGTTCATGTAATGCAAATGTGGGTTAGTTGCACCAAATAGTCCTCTACTAAGACTAAATTGTCCCATTGCTTAATCCAAGAGTTATCTTGTCCTCTCTATGGGTTAAAGTTATTAAATTATTATCTCTATGGGTAAAGTAATTAAGCTAACCCAAAAAATGAGTCTGAAAATGGCTATAATCATAGATTAAAAAATAAGTCAGCTGTTCAATGCGAGGTATGAAATATAATCAAATCTATGTGTTTATATCATTTTCCCTAAATTATACTGCTCCTAAGAGCCAATAACATTTTTTTTTCTCTATTCTTTGCTGTTTTCTTAATAAATTCCAGGTATATTTGATGTAAGGCAAAGGCAATTAAGGCATAAATTCCAAGCCCATGACTCTCCAATAAAATGTTTGGCCTTAGATCCAAGTGAAGAATTCTTTGCTACTGGTTCTGCTGATGGTGACATTAAAGTGAGTGCTAAGAGCTGTTTTTTAAAAATTGCAATATTACATTCATGTAGTCATCTATCATGTTTCATTCAACTAGACTAATGATTTTTACCTTGCTATTTCCAATGTCGCTAAAATTTGGTAGGAGAATGCGTATCAAAATTTCAGATTGAGAATCTAAAAATTTTTGTTGCAAGGTAAGGAATAATTAAAACTCATTGTGCATGTGCAAACTATGATGATAATTTGACCTTGCTTTTAAATAGGTAAGGTTTTGATTGGCATTTTAACTGAAATCAAGAACTGTTATTAAAATTTTGCTGATTTTTATTACTATGATTTATTATTTCATCGAGTCTCTTTTTGAACAATCATATGTAATTGACTAAAACAAATGTGAATTGATTTCATCAAAACTTACAGGAAAAAGTTAAGATTTAACACATTGCACATTCCAGAAGGAAAAAAAAAATTTTTTTATAGGCTTTTTACATATTAACATAAAACAATGTATTTCAGTGTGTTATTTGCTAAACAATTTTTTATTTCCACAGCCAATTTAAAAATATTAATTGATTAATTTAACCAAGAAATATAAAGCTTTGAAAATAATCTGACAACTTACGTTCTTAAAGTTTCAAAAATATTACAGCATATGAACTATTATTTGCTGAATTCAATAGCATTTCAGTTTGTCAAGTACTTTAGACATTTAAAACTGCTACCATTTTAGTTTCTCTTTTTGAAACTGAGCCTGAGTACTTATGTGCTGAAGTTCCCAAAAGTCTGAAAAATTGTTCAGTTTGCATGTTTGTTAATTACTGTCATCTACAGGATTTACAGATATTTCTTTTTTTTTTTTTAAAAAAAATTTTAATTTTTAATTCAATAAGAGTTGCTTTTTTTAGGTTTGGGGTTTGAGTGTTCATGTTAAACTATGTTCCTTTGCTGGTGAACATACAAAAAGCTCTCTATTCCGAAGCATCAGCAATGGGGTGTCCCAGCTAGAAATAGACGAAATGGGTCGACTTTTTTCATGTGGTGCAGATGGTTCACTGAAGTTCAGGACCCTTCCAGATCATGACATAGTAAATTCTATGCTATAAACTTAAATTTATTAAATTTTGTGTGTAAATGCAACGAAGTCCTTTCTCCTAGACATGAGAATTATCTGTGATTTAATGGATCTCTTTTTGACTGAAGTCAGATGATGTGTTTGATATATGCATAGATGCTTTTTTCTCAGGTTTGTGCAGGATTTACATCGTTGTTATTTGTTGAAATTGGTGCTGCAAAATTTTGAAATCAATTATGTAACGTAATCATTGTCCTTGCTTCTTTTTAAAGTAAAAGAAATTGAAAAACACCAATTAATCAAAAAGTGCAATTGACTGATTGTTTCAATTTATTTATTATTATTTTTTTGCATGGAATTGTAAAATTTTTTTTAATGTTTTATTGTTGTGTTATTTGCAAGTACTGTGCCTATGATAAAATGCTATTCTCTGTTGCATAAAATAGCTAAGGTAAAATATGGCAGAATAAAAATACATTGTTCTAAGTATTGTATTCATACTCATTCTGTTTCAGTTAAAATAATTTTAGCATGCACTAGCAAATATGATAAAATAAAACATAACATTTTATGAGACTTTTTGTCATCTTTAAAAGCTTTGAGTGTTGCCACTAGGTTGAAAGTGGGTGTGATAAATGGATAGTTTGCCTCAGGCAAAGTAGTTCTTAATATCTTGAATGTAGGTAAACCTTTTTTTTTCTTTAGCAGATAGAAGTTAATCTTATATTTTATTTTAAGTTAATGCCATTAGTTTACATTCATAGGTGCAGTTCTTATAAATAAGCACTTCCATTATTTTAATAGTGATTTATCCAATTGTGATATTTTAACATACCAAAAATATTATCATTTTTCATTGGAAATTTTACTAAATGTCTATAATTCAACAAGCTTTATTTAATATCAATTTTAATTCGGATTAATCCAAACTATTAAAATTGGTAAATCTAATCATGAAGACTGAAATGAGCTGGCATGAAAAAATAATCATTAAATCAAGTGCTGTTTCACTTTTACTGGTACAGTCCATTTGACAGTAAGCTATTTTATTTAATGTATTTGTGTCTATTTGAGCTTCATATAAAGTGTCAAAACATTATTTTTCTTCTTTCATCTCAAGGTACAGCAGAATAGGCATTCCATTTTGTTAATTCTACTAAACTATGTGTGTTTTTATTGTAATTTTATCTATTGTCGAAGTGTTTGAATGTTACATCTCTACGTGATTGATAATTAAAACCTCTCATCAGAAATAATGTAACATTTGTAAAAAAAAAAATTTAAAAAAAGAATTGTTTTCTCACTTATAGTACGTGTTTAAAACTAGTTGTGTCGGTACTTCTCCAAAGTCTACTGTTGTTTACAATACTTGAGTTGTTCCTCTAAAATCATTGAATATTTGTATGAATAAATTATTTCATTCCAGATGGCTTATCGTTATGCGAGTATAAAGAAATGTTAAACAGTATTTTATCATCTTTTTAGAGTTTGTTTAGTTTTTCATTTGTATATTTATTCAAGTTTCTCAATGACAAAAGATGTTACTTAAGTTTTGTAAAGAAATTTGTAAATTATAAACGAGTTTATATTCTTTGTGTGATATTATAAAGTAGTTGATATATATATATATTTATCTGTATAGAGTTGTGTAAAAATAAAAATAAAAAACTGAATTTATGCAATTTACAAGTATGAACTGAATCAAACTTTACTAATTTAGAATGTGATCAATATTATAAGTGACAAATAAAAAAAAGCACATTTAGTTTTTGTTACTGTTTTTATTGACAAACACAATCTTTCTTAAAAACTATTTAAATAGTCAAATAATAGAAACAGTAAATGTAAACAAAATGTATAATGCATGCACTCAAACTGTGTAATATCAGATATAGAAATCATGATACAGTCAGAACTTTATTTCTAACAAAATGAGCTCTTAATGTATCTTGTACATTCCAGCAACTTTGGGAATTTGCTTATATTTTTTGAAAAGTTTTTTTCATACCATAAATAGATTATGTTAAATATACATTGCATTAAAGAAAAATGTAAATGAAGTGTAATTTTGATACGCTTTGCTGTATTCTGCCTAATGTATAGAATTTCAACTTTTCATCAACTTCATTCAACTTTTTTTTTTTTTTAATGATTTGTTTATGAAATGATACGAAGATTTTTTTTTAGTAATGTTCTAAAATTTTCTTTGTATAATATTATAAAAGTTGAGGACAATTTTTTAATTATAAAAGTACATATAGTAGAATTTTTTTTTTACTATTCTGTTCTAGTTTCCTCTTAATAGATTCATATTTGATTCTTCAGTTTTTAAACACAGTTTAAAAGATTCTGATAATGCACATCAAACCAACCACACTGAGACTAGTGCTAATTTTTAATATTCTTCTGAGCACCAATTAACCTAAAAATAATGTATAAAAATAGTACCTATATTTATTTATTAAAATTAAACACGGTTTGTATGAAACTTGTACACAGTATATTTATAAAAGTATCGAAAGTCAATGGATAAATTATATATACATTTATCATAATAAGTTAATATATCAATACATATCATAATATATTTACATTACTAAAGCTTTTCTTTTTTCAGACCACCTGTCTTTTAAATCCTCTTTCACAGTATTAGGAGAAAATATGTGATCAATACTACTAAATGACAAGTCGAACAATTCTTTTTGAGTAAGGGAATAATGTTCAAAGGCCAAATAATATTCATGAGATAAAGTAGTATTAAAAACACCTTTATCATCAGTCTGCAATGTGAAAAAGGAAATATTAGTTTAATTCTGTTTTAATGTTACACATTTCATAAAAAACAATGATTGGAAGATTCTAGCTCATGATTGAGCTGATTTTTCTACATCCTTTAGGTCAGCAGATTGTAGATTAGTTAAGTCCTGATACTAATTTGGGTTAAGTGGAAATCCAGTTCTTTGTAAACTGTTGATGTCACTGTGCAATAAGCCTAATAAATAACTTGGAAGTTTTCAAAGAGATAAGAGATGGATTTGTATCAAATAGTAAAAACACCTGAGTTACAAGAAGAGAACAAAAATAATAAACACACGCTAAATTGTTTGTTTAATCGTTGAAACTTTCACATATGATCTTTCAACATACGTCAACAAATTTCACTATCTCTTAGGTAACATCTAACATCAATAAACCTCCATGAACTCATTTACTTAATTTCAGGTATTAACTCTATATGGGTAACTATAAAAATGTTTATCCTCTATCAAACATTTCCCTGTATATTAAAATGAGAAAAAAAAAACTTAAAACTGGGATGTCTGGAAATACAATTAAAAACACTTGTATTTTCACTTCTTTTTTTTTATATAAAACACTGATTTATTCTTTAATTATTACTTTACTGTTTTTTTTAAATTTTTTTTTACTTTATTTAAATCACATCTCCAGTTTGTACTAAGTTATGATAGAAATGCACTGGCAAAAATAATGCCAAATAAAAATGCAATTTTTACATTTAAACAAAGTTAAGTTATCAAAATTTTATATTAAAAGGATGTCTTTATCACTTTCTTTGCACTAAATTTGACAAAAGTGATTACTTCCTTTAACTAATATAATGTTAGTTTTTGGCACAACATTTATTGATAGATTATGAAAAAATTCAGGAAATGATATTCAAAAGGAAAAGGTTGTACTGTTAGGTCTATTGCAAGATAATTGTTTGCTCTACCATTGCTGTTTGCAATTTCATAAATCTGGGAGAAATGCATGGAATTAAGAAAGATTGAGTTGTTAACAATAAACTGAGTTAACGACAAAAACGGCAGGTGATACGTGAAGCAGCAAAGCTCAATTTAAATTCAACAAAAATATTAATGCATGATTTGTCTACCACTGAGGATATTTTATGTTAGCACTGTGGTCAGTGCGAGCTAGAATCAACCAGCAATTCAAACCTGTGTCACCTCAGTGGGAGGTGACTGTAGAGTCACTGCAGCTCTAATATTGCTATTTATTGACAACGATACAATAAAATACTTACACATAGAATACAAGGATAACCCATTTCTTTCAAATACTTGAAATGATGATCTGCATATGAAGGAACTGTCTTCGATACAACATTTGAAGTTAAGCATATTTCTAAAAAAAAAAAGGTAGAAATTAAAATTATGAGTTATGCATATAGGCTAAAAATTTGAGGCGTTGTAAATATACAGTAAATTCAGACAAAAATTCTTAATCCAAACTCATAAATATTTAACTTTTACCTAACTAATAACTAAATTAAAAATCTCAGTTCCATACTAAAGTCATTCTAATTAGACCTTACCTTTAAATTTGCTTTTGATAAAAATAGTGTGTCTAAATTAAGAACTCCTCCCGTCACAAAGTCTAAAGCTGTCTGGTGCTATGGAAACAAGAATGGCGCATTTTAGGGAGAGTAGCTTCACTCTAGGACTAACACAATAGACCAAAGAGATTCCCTTTATCCCGCCGACCCGAGCCAAAACTACTTCCAAAACAGTGACCCCACACCCCTACTTGAAATAGTCGTACCTCGTTACCATAGTCACCGCCACAGGTCCAGACGAATGTCTGGAGGAGTTCTTATTTTAAACAAACTATAGGTAGGTACTTTATTTACATTGCGCTAGAGCTACACAATGGGCTATTGGGGACAATCTGGGAAACATCCCTCAGGATGATCCTAAGACATGCCATCACACTTTTGATCCTCTGCAGAGGGGATGGCTTCCCTGCTTTGATAGCCTGACGACCTGGGCGAAGTCGAGCACTTAACGGTAGAACAGTTTAATGACGACCAATACCCCGCACCCTAGATCCCTCAGCAGGCTGATCAAAGTGGTCATCCATGCACTTACTGGCCGCAGCCTGTGATGCTTGACTTCGGTGCCCTACTGGGAGTTCTTTACTGGGAAGTTGTCTTTACAATTAGTTCACTGCAGGACGATAAAAATACAGAAATTTTTTTTTTTTAACATTTAAACTAAAACTGGTACATTGAATAAACAAATTTTAGATTTAAAAAAAAATAATTTCATGGTTTAAACTGCACAGTGAACAATTGAATAATATACTTACCAAGCGGAATTTGTAACTTTTGGAATAGCTCAAAGTTTTTTACTGATCCACCTTGTTCAGGTAATAGGTACGTTCCATGACCAAGTCTGTCGGGTTGTAAATTTAAAAGTTTTTCTACCTCCTCAAATTTGTTCGGAACCTATAAAATGTCAGAAAACTTAATAAATGGGAATGTGACAAAATATTGTATTGACTTCAATAAAATAAAAGAAGTTGTTAGCAATAATAGTTGTCAACAAATTTGTATAAAACATCAAATAACACCCTATGCATAATTTTCACACACACTATGCAAAATAACACATCCTGTCACACACTATGCATAATAACACACTATAAATATATGCTAAATAACACACTATGCATAATAACACATCCTGTTTCTTAGAGACAAAATTAAGCTTTAAAAATAAATTGAATTAAAAAAGAATTATTTAAGTGAAGTTTTCGTGACTTTTATGAGTAATTAAAATGTCTTAGAAATCAAATGCACAGTTAAATTAGAACATTAATTGCAGAAATAAATTTTTATTTTAAGTGCAACTAACTTTTTCGATATTAAAAAGTTAACAGTCCCAATGGTTGTAAACCTTAAAATTTCATTAACATTTATAAATAAATATTCTATTTGTAAAATTAAGTTATTGATTTTTATCATAAAATTAAAGTTATAGTATTTTTTATCTATTTATAACAATAAAATGCAATGATAAAGCTTTTTTTATGGTATTTAAATTCAGTTTCTAAAGTTCAATTGAAAATATATTCATTTAAAAGTGTTTTGATACATTAAAAAGCAGCATTTTATTTTTGAACAGAAAATTAGAAGTTTAAATAAAATCATAATTTGAAAATAAATTAAAAGTAATCATTGAATATAAATATTGTTGTACTAACTGTAAAAGAGCAAAGGCCACTTGGTGAAAATTAGAAGTACAGTATGTATACATAAATATATATTAGATGCTGTATTAATGAGCAAATTTTTAAGGAGAAAAATTTTAAAAAAAAAACATGAATAACTAAAAGTAGCAGATAATTACAAGAAATAAAACTCAATATTTACTAATTTTTCAAACAATTTTTACAAGGTATTTTTTGAAAATAAAACTAACATCTAACAAACCATATAATATATTTTTGTTTATTTGTTTTAAATAAACTTACTTCAGAAATGTGAATAGCTAACTTCAAGCCTTTTTTCTTTGCAGACTCCAAGATAGGTAGAAAAGAATGTATATCCTCAGTCTATTATGAAAATAATTTTAATTATAGAAATAGATCATGCTGTAACATTTAAAAACACAATCATTTTTTAAGTCAGATAAATATAAAGCTAAATGTTTGTTGAAGGGGGAATGCTTGCCTTTACAACAATAATAAAAATTTATTCATATTTGTAAATTTACCAACATTTGGAAACTGACAATTTTACAATAAAAAGTAATTTTTGTGCTAGTGTTAAATGCTGTATTGTAAAACAAATTGTGTATTACAAATACAGTTAAAAAATCATGTGAACAAAAGTTAAAGATTAAATTTTTTAAAATCCTAATGATAGCATACTAAAAGTAAAACATCTTAAAATTTTATGGGGTAAACAGTAGATTTTATAAATCAATTTTACAACTTACAGTAGACTTTCCTGCTGTATCAACAATTAATATTTAAATAATTAATACATAGAAACAAATTATATGAAAATTATTAAATAAGTGAGAATTGATAATCAATTATTGAATTACTCAAATAGGGCTATATCACAATAAAAAAAGGTTTTGCTAGATACTATATTTTCATACAACATAGTAAAAAAGTTTTTAGCAGTTTAAACATGACTTCTCAACGAAATAAAAAAAATCAGTTTATGTCTCAGAAAAACAAAATTTAATGAAAGATAAAAGAGACTTGATAGATAAGAGATTTAATAGATAATCATGATTAGGGTTCAAACCAGTATGGTGACAATTGTCACTGAAACTATATGCATGGATGTCAAATCTGTTGTCTTGAAATATGTTTTGAAATTAACAAAATAAAGTAATGAAAAATAGTTTTTTCCAAGGAATCATGTGTTTAAAAAAAATGTTGTACTAATTTTATTATTTTCCGCACGGAATGGAATTCAAATGCATGGTAGATAAACCAAGTATCTGGTCTAAAAACTTTTAAAATTAAATATTGAAATTTCTAATTTACATTTTGTGCTTTGCTTTATACTCATATACTATTAATATTTTGTCTTTGATTTGCGTTTGCGTGGTTCATAAAAATACGAGCTCATGAAAATAATGCTGATCGGATTTTAGATAAACAACAACTAAAAGAATAAATTGTGGATTAATAATTAATATGTTTATTATAAACTGCGCATTGGTTTATCTCGATAAACGCACTGAAACAAACTAAAGAAGCAACTTTCTGTTCTAATTAATGTAGGTGGCGCTACTAGTACAATCATACATACCGGTACTTCAACATATACTGATTGTATTATTTTTCATTTATGAAATAATATTTTTTTGTTCATTTAGAAAAGACTTTAACTGAAATTCTGTAATTTTAGATAACTAATTTTTCATATAATATTTTTTTAGTTCTTACTTTCTCTGTTTTTCTCATTTATTTATTTATTTAGTCTCAGCATTTTAATCTCTATGTTGAATCTATTTATTAATATTATTTTACCTTTTTTTCACTTAATTTTGATAAGTACTAACCTTTAATCATTATGGGGTAATGAACTCAATTAGTTTTAGGATGTTATAGATGGCAATAAATAATTTTTGATGTGTACTGTAACATAAATTATGTATTGTGATATTGGATTTTTTCCCCTCAAGTTTGTCAGCCATATTAAGTTCTTTAACCATTGAATGAATACCTAGATGGTCCTATTGGACCATTAAATTTTCATTGGTGGTGTGAGTCATAATCATGATAGATTAGAGAGACTTCAGAAGCTTATTTGATTTATAGTTTCACATTTAAAATTTATTTTGTTAACAAACCTAAGAATATTCTAATTTCTTACTTTTATTTTTTTATTATTATTTGCATAATAAAATTAAATGATAAGTTTACTGAATGAAATTAAAACTTTTAATTTGCACTCTAATGATAATGTGGACATGCCAACTACTAGGAAATTTTGTTGACTTCATACAAGAAATATATATTTGAAAACTTATTTTATTTGTAAGTTTTACACTTCAAGTTTTTAATATTTATTTAAAAATATGTTTAGTAGGTTTAACTAACAAAAGTATTTAGGTACAAATAATCATAATTACAAGCAAATTTAAATGAACTAAAAGAAACATATTTTTTGTGTAACATGTTCATTTCAAAATTATATAAATACAATAGTATGTTATTCTTAATTAATATTATTGTCAAATTTTGCATACTTTATTTAACCAATAATTATTGGCCAAAATAAATAGTGAAAATCGTCATTAGCAAGACATACTTCTTCATTACTTTTATTTGACTATCACAATTACTCAAGGTACTATCACAATTTCTCATAAATGCATTCATTAATCATTGAATATATTTACTAGAAAATACATTTTTCTACTTTTACACTTTTTTCTTCACAAGTATTTTTACTTAAATGATTTTATAAAAATAATAGAAATATTAAACAAATAAGGAATACTCAATTAGATCTAAATTTAATGACAGGTTTCAAAAATTTTAATTAATTAAAAATGTTCTAACTCTTAGAACCATTGTGGCCCTTCCACCATGGAACCCTAGTACCACCACGGAACCCTAAATTCCAACACCATTTGAGAACCACTATTCTAATTTACCAATGTTTGGGAGAATGAATATAATACAAAAAAGTCTTTGTTAACAAAACAAAAAAAAAAAAACAAGACGGTTAGGTAAAGCAAAAAGGAATTTGCGAAAGTTACCCTCAAAAGATAGTGCGTCTTATTTTTTGCGTCAACTTAAATATGGGTTTCGAGTTTTGGAGTAAATTTTCATAGAAAAAGTGCACTCGTCTTAGGCACGGATGGGCTTATATTTAGAAATATATGGCAATTTTTTTATTTAAAATGCTTACTTTAAAATTACAATGATCAATTTTGAAAAATGAAATTCTTACTTACTGTGGGATCACCACTGAAATCTATTCCTACAACAGTTCCTGAAGAAATATTAAATTTTTCAGCAATTTGCAGCGTTTTTTCTGCATTTACAAACGGTCTTTTACGATCCACTGACAACAGCAGTTTTACTTTAATCTCTTCATTTGTGGTGGAGCAAGCATCTTGAATGGCTTTCAGAACTGTCTCAACATAAATGTCTTGAGTCATAGAAGGCAAAACATCCTTTGGTGTTGTTCTCAGTTCTAAATATAAGACACCATCATTATAAAACTCTTCGATTACATCACAAGTAGCCTAGAAATATTAAAATTAGAAATAACAAGTAAAGAACTTGAAAATATAATACAAAAATAATTTTTGCATGGATGAGAAAGAAAATGCAACAGGGTTTCAAATAGACATGAAAATAACCACTAGTCACATGGTGAGTCAGCAAGTAATCAATCATGTTCATGAATTAGTTTGATATTAAACTTTTTGTTATGACAATTACTGCCAAAAAAACCAAATTTTGGTGTAGAAAATATTAAAGAATTATAAATAAAAACATGTAAAATTAAAATTTATCCAATCCGTTAATTTATTAAATTATTGAAAATAAAAATACAAAAACAATCAGCTTAACCCCTTCCTTTTCGCTCCCGTGAAAATGATGGGGTGAGGTTTCGCCCTCTATTTCTCGCTCCCGTGATATTTCCGGGCTGGAGTGTTCAGTAGTAACGCACCAAAAAGAATAAAACTAATTACTTTTTTTTGCCTGGAAAACATTTTATTTCTCATTTTACACACCAGATGGCAGTACCAGGATATTTTTCAACCATCAAGAGAATGCAAAATTTGTTGCTCCAGAAGAGATGAAAACAATAAGAGATGTAGGAAGGAAACTCGGTACTACTGTCTAGATTGTGACGTTGGACCTATGTATCTCGTGCTTTGAAATGTATCACACAAGAAAAAATTACTAATCTTTATTCATATTATGGGTCATTCTCACTGAAAAGGCATAAATAGACTAAAAAATTTTCTTAAATTAAAGTAATTAAAAATGTGATAAAAATTACATGAATGCCTTTATTTATTTTTGTTATATGTCCTTATAATAATGGTCAAGTTTTCTATTTTATTTTTTACAAGATTTAAAATATTTTAATTTCTGCCTTGTCCAAGGAGGAGATGTAATAGTTAACAGAGGAGACAAAATGTCAATGAAGACTAATTCATTAATTATTGGGTACAACTGATATGAGTTTAACATTAATAAGTAAATAATAAAATATTTCATTATTGGAGATAGAGCTACTTCCGATTAATCATGCTCCTATGAAAGGAAACATCCATTTTTAACCTAGGTGTAAAATTTTTTAAGTAACTCTTACTGAATATTAATAAATTAAAATGTAAAGACTATTGAAATAAAAATTCAGACTCCACATGAAAGTTGAGTGTTGAGGGTACTTTTTTATGAACATTTTATGCAAGTTAAACATACTGTCATCCAAATAATGTTTTTTCTCTTTTCTTCTTGTTATTGTTTCTTTTTTCCCTGGGCACAAACGGCTTGCTCGATCAATTTCTAGAAATTTAAGTACATTTAATCACGATTTTTCTGTTAAATCTTTTTCTGATACAGATTTTAAAGTTTCTTGCTCTTTTTTATTTTTTTACTTTCTTCAAACAATATAGGGTTTTCTTTTAATTTCTGTCTAGCTTGTCTCATACTAAGTTTTTTCTGTTCCCTTCTCTTTTGCATATGAACATTTGATTGCTTTCTTTTTTTACATTTTCTTTTTTTACCACTTTAAAAAATAGCAATTAAAAGAAAATAGTTTTCTAATTATTAAAATTGTATTATGGTTATCTAACATATTGTCCCTTCCAATGACTGTGTCTTCTCCTCCGTGGGCTCGTTATGTCCACGGAGGGGACGTCCACGGAGGAGACAAAAACTAGTTCTTGAATTTTACTGATTTTTAATTTTAAAGTTACAAAAATGGGGCAGTTCTTTTTATTAAATATACTATTTTTGCAATCTAAAATTCATCTATCAAAAATAAAATAATTTTCTCTTACCTTCTTTATAATGTCCACGGAATATACGGTGAGAACTTTGCCAAACCCCAGTTGAACACAACAATCCAAAACTGACACCAAAGAGAACAAAAACAACTGATAGTTAACATTAGAAAATGGAATGGTTACGTTTCCTAGAAGCTGTCTTATAGGGATTTCGCACATGCTGCCCTTTATTGCATATTTGCCGAACTATATTAATTGTCCACGGAGGGAGATTTCATTTTCGATGGACAAAGTTTACTAGTCATTTATTTTTCTTAAAAAAATATTAAATAAAAAGTTACTATAAGCATTTAACTAGGTAAAACTATAAAAATCATTAAAATAACATTTAAATTGTTTAACAGCCATTAAAAATTATTTTGTGTCACAGACGTAGGGACGTCCATGGAGGGGATTTTGAAGTTATGTTTATTAAAAAATAAGAATGAAATATTAAATACATTTAGCAGAAATGCATATGATTTGTTAGTTAGAACTTTACAAATAATGATAAAGAAAAATTTCCTAATATTTATTACTAAGGGACTTAAAAAATCACTTTTTTGTGAGAATGACCCTTATATGTAAGTTTAATAAAATTCTTTTTTAATGTTTAAAACACATATTTTTTTAAATTTTCCTTGCTTGCTGGAAAATCAACATTAAGTCATAGTAACCCTGAATGTTGGCTTTTCCTAAAAATTTAATATTTTAAAATTTCAAGCTAAAAACAAATCAAAAATGAATATATATATATTGTTCATACACATATTTTTATACAATTTTCAGGGATAAAAAAATAGGCACTTTTATGATTGTTTTCTTGAAAATTAACCGATCGTTAAGGGGTTAATAAAAAAAACACTCAATAATCATCTTATTCATTACATGTAAGATAAATTTTCATTTAGTACTCCCATTTTAACTCCTCATTTCTCTAAAGCATGTGTTTACAAAATAAATAAAAATAAATTGGAAGCTTTTGCACTTCAAGTTCATTTTTCAGTTTTGTATGAATAAGACCGATATTCGAAAATATTGTTTCGATTGATGCTGAGTTGCATAGTTTAAAAAGTAGACATACTAAAGCTATAATAACATAATAAAATAACATGTAACTAGGAAATTCATTCTAATAACTGTACTAAATATCAATAGTAATTTAATTAAACTTTTGAATTGTTTGAAAAAATTATTAGCTCATTTAAACAAATATTTATATTTCTTTTAAAATTATAATTAGTTCACTAACATTAGAAATATTCTTGTATAAATAAGCAGGAAATTCTCAGAGCCTAATATTCCCTATGAACAAAGCATCTTTTTGGATAAAATTTTCTTCAAAACTTTTGGTTTCTTTTTTTCAGTACAATAACTTTTTCAAAATATTTTTGGCAAATAAAGTTTATGTAAGAAAAAAAATTTATTTGATTTTACACAATTCTTGCATAAACGAGGATATGTGTTATAAAATAATAGAAGTCAAAATATATTGAAATTTAATAATTTATTAAACTAAATTTATGGTCCCATTTATAAACTTAAGGAATTCAAATTAATAAATACACAAACTGATCAATGTTTTTTTAACAACCCAACCCTGTTCACAATGCACTATAGTTTACTAATCGAGTTGTATAGCCATTATCTGTCTTATTTGTGACAAAAATTATTAAAAAAACAAATTTAGTTTATAATGAAATTAACTTATCAACACCCCATTGAACAGTCTAACAGTATTCGAAATCGAATTTTAAAAAAGTCGTATTTTTAAGAACTACAATTTCGCACAAATTTTCTATTTTGCCATTTCAAATTTCTTTTTTTAAAATGACATAAAAAATTATAATTACAATTCAAAAGTTTTTTAACTATTATTAAATAAGATAATAAAAAATATTAAATATTTACAAAAAGTAATATTTTGCATGGAATTATCTTCGAATAAATGAATTTCATAATTGTGTTCAAAAATTCCTCAATTCGCTTAAAAAGTTCTCAGGGATATGGTGAAATATGCAAAAAGTAAAACTAACATTAAGGTTTTCAAACTTTGGACCGCTCTCCTGTCCAAACTACTATGACATAAAAAATATAACCATTCTTTGCATATATATTGTAATAAATAAAAAAATAAAAAAAATAATTGCAAAATATAATTATATTAAATACATTCCTGTAAGCAAATAGATTTTTAATCAATTTTTTTTATAATTTTAATGATTTTTATTTATTTTTTCTTCTTTTCAAAATCCTTTCTTCCCTTTTTGTGTGTGTGTATATATATATATAGCATAATAAATAAGTAAAAAAAAAACACAAAGAAAATTAAGAAAACAATAAGTTTCATTTATTGCGCATAAGCTGCAAGTAAATAGAACTCATAAAATAAGTTCAAAATGTAAAGAAAACAAGGGAAATATTACACAACAATGAAAAAAGGGGAGAAAAAAAAGAAAAATAATAATAAAAATAACAAAAACCGGAAAAAAGGACAAAAAATTTTTAGAATTAAAAAAAAAAATCCAGAAAATAAAAAAAAAAATTTTCTGGTTTTTGTTATTTTTATTATTATTTTTCTTTCTTTCCCCTTTTTTCATTGTTCTGTAATTTTTCCCTTGTTTTCTTTACATTTTGAACTTATTTTATGAGTTCTATTTACTTGCAGCTTATGCGCAATAAATAAAACTTATTGTTTTTCTTAATTTTCTTCGTGTTTTTTTGTATTTATTTATTATGCTATATATATATATGTATATATATATATATATACACACTGAATATATATACTGAAAAGCATGAATAATTTTACTCATAAAAAAGGATATTCCTAATTTTTACGCTTTTAAAAGTAATAGTTATTTTTCAAAAAAGTGTTTATAGAAGTATGATGGTTTTTTTTCTTGTTTAAGCTATAGTAAAAATTACAGTAAATTTGAGAATTTTTGTAGAAATATTCGTATAATTGTTATCTAATCAAGGATATAATTAGAAATGGATTCTCTAAGAATTTTTAATGATCAAATTTATATACACTAACAAAATAAAGGGATTAAAAAAACATCTTCACCAAATACAGTTTTTAAAGGTGAGCTATAAATCGTCTCTATTCACTAAAAATATCAATGAACTGGACCATGATAAAAAAAAAAGTACATGTGGGGTTTTTTTTTGGGGGGGGGGAGAAGTTATAAAGTAAACACTAATGCCCATTGGTTTATAACATGTTTGAAAGATTTTTTTCCCCACCGTGGTCCTCCAAGGATGCCAGAAAAAGAAAAAAGAAAAAAAAAACAATAATGACGATCACAGGTAAGAATTATTTTCACTGTTTTGAAAAGCATTGCCTTTATGATATTTAAATACAAAATTACAATTTTTTAAATAAATTAACATCATATTAAATGTTTAAACATGCTTCACTTTTTTAAAAAAGAAAAAAAATTTTAAATAACAAAACAAAAGTCTATAAAGTTTTGGCACCGATTTTAATGTTAAAAAAAATAACCAGAAATAATAGAAGACACCATATTATACAATTATTAATGTTCACATTTTTTTTGCTTCACAAAGTATCTATATTTACAAATTAAAAAGATTACTTACCACATAAATTGCCTCAGGACTATCTGTAATTTTGTGTATAAGATTAAATGTTTCAAAGCACCTTAAAGAAAAATTAGGAAATAAAAAAATAAAACTTTATAAAAAATTAAACACTTAAATGCCAAAAACTTGTTAACTTACTGTGAAAGATTATTTGATGATAATTTAGGCAATTTCAGATCAAGTTTATTTCCGTCCTCTTTTTGCTTTTTTATTGATATTAATTTTTCAAGAGTTCTATGGCTGAGGGATCCATTTAAATGGGCATGAAGTTCCTGTAATTGATTAAGATTCAGAAATTATATGAATTATCAGTGAAATAAAAAAATTTAAAAAAGCAAAAGCACTATTTTTAAATTTTATTTAATAACACATTTGAAAGCTAAATTGTAAGAAATTGTTAGATCCAAATAAAGATATTTCTCAAAAGAAAGATTTGTATCACCCAAGGTAATTCTTAGTTACGGTAAAATGGGTGATACACCTATACCATTTGATATACGCACTTTACCCTAGAGTGGGGTAAAATGGGTATAGTTCTAAAATTAGTACATATTTAATTAAAGTAAAGAACAAATGTAAATATTGTTTTAGAAATAAAAATGCTCTTAAATAAATGCATTATGATTATATTTTAAAAATAAATGTTAAAAAATATTTTTTTTCCCTACATATTATTAAATTAATGAGATAATGTTCATTGATATCAAAATTAGGTTTCGCTTTGAATGCAGTACATTTTGCTGAACTCTACACAATATTAAAAAGCAAGAAAACTTCAACAGTTTTTTGTTAATTAGAAATATAAATGAGAGTGTAAAAATTAATATCTATAGTGGTAATTTAAAGTGTTTTTACTATTCATAGCAGACAGGTATTTCGATTCAATTAAGTTATTTGAAGGAAATTGTTCCATGAAAAGACTGCTAGGTAAAAACTCATTAATATCTTTAAATATGCTTACTAAGTTGTACAATTATGCTCGTGCGTGTTATTATGGTAATTTTTTTAATTATATGATATGTTAATGTTAGTAATATTGTTATTTCTACCTACCATTCTTCTTTTTAAAAAATGCAATTTAAAAGAAATTTTGATTTCAGACTTAAAACTTCTAAGTAGGGCTATAATAAAAAAGTAAATTATTTTTTAGCTATTTCATCATAAAATATAGAGCATTAGATACTTACTAAAGCTAAAACAAAAGTTCAAAAAAAAAAAAAAAAATCACTATCATACAACATTTAGCTAAGCCTAATCATATACCCATTTTACCCCACCTCAGACTACGATTGATACTAAACAGAATTTCGAAATTTATTCATAAATTTCTATGTTAGTCAGTTCATCAGATGTCCCTCCACCAGTTTGAATAAAAATTTATATTTTATGATAGTTTTTTTATAATATTAGAAGAAAGTTCATCAACAGCTTAAACTAATATACTGTATAAGTTGATCATATGCAGATAGTTTGTAAATGTTAAATTTTTTTAACAGTTTCTAAAACTGTAATAAAATGCTAGCCGCAATCACAGTAAATGTCTCTAAAAACATTAAACGAATTATCTCAATTTAAAAGAAGAAAATTTTATCGATTTTTTTAAAAAAAAACATATGCCCACTTTACTTCACCTGATCCAATAAAAATCAAAGAGATACTCTTAAATTTTTTTTTAATAGAATTTATGACTTATTTGCAAAATTACTGTTTATTTACGGTGAAAAAAAATAAATTGAATTGCTTTTTAAATTTCTGTAAAATAATATTGGCTTTGGTACATATTTACAAAGATTTTTATCAAAATTTGAGTTTTAAGTACTTTTCCTTTCTCCCTTTTTAGTTGAATTATAAACTATTTTAGATATAAGAAATAATTTTGGATTCCCTTATTTTATTTTAAATAATTTATAATTTAAAACAATTTATACAGGATTAATTAATACAGGATAATAATTTATACAGGAATATTTAAAATAATTTATACAGGAGTTCATCAAATACAGTCCCGTGTATTTAAGGTAAATCTTGGTCATTTGGGTAATTCTATTTGAATGATGCTCTCTCTTCAATTGTCCTTTTCATTGTCCTGTTCATTATATTATATTGCTAGTTATTATCACTAGCAATTCTAATTGTCTGCAACCCTTCAAGCCTTAACAGTAAAGTTAACAGTAACCACAGTCTTAGTTAACTGTAATTCTTAATAATTGATATTATTAAATTTAACTGGTGAATTTTATATTTATTTGGCACAGAGTTTTCCCTAGGAATAAAAAAAGGCAGAGATCTTCCAAACAAAAAAGGGCACTCACCACCCTTAAATTTAACAAAATGTGTAATAGTATATAACAACTGAATTTGACCTTCAATTTGTAAATTGCCCTCTTAAATAAAGGCAAGCTAAAAGACAATCTGTGTAAAAATTTTCTTCAAAAAAAGTTTTAAAAAAGTTTTTTAATTGGTAAGCAAGCAACTTGAAAGTTTTTTTTTTACATTTTAAACTGAAAATAGAGAAAAGGAACATTTTTAAATAAAGAGTATTTAATCAAAAAATTAAAGGTAAAATTTAAAATCATTAAAGAATGCATTAATATAATTACCCCCTCCCTAAAAAAAACTTACCAGTTGAGAATAATTCCAACAAAGCAAATATTTGTAACAGTACCTAATCAGAATTATTTTATTTATTCTAAATTATTCTTTTAATTTAATTAAATTAAATTTTACAGAGTGTTATCATTATCTACGCAATGAATTAATTTTTTTCAAATGGAACAAGTAAACTAAATATAATTAGTACATAAAATTTGTCTAGATGTAAGAGTATAAGAGTACTACATTTATTAAGATAATAAGACAATCCATTTATAAATAAAACATAATAGGTAAAATAGATTTTAATATTTTGTTTACAAACAAAATAAGAAAAGAGTTATTCCTTAAAGAAATATGAAGGGAAACTTTCAACTTTTACGCACTATTTTAAATTCCATATGTTAAATTTAAGCTAATACTAATTGCTAAAGAATTCTACTGGTCCTTTTAAGACTTTCTGCTGTTTTCAGTGACAGGAAAAAAACCACCTCAAATTGGATTGAAATTGGGGGAAGCAACAATTGAAAACTTTATTTTTATTAATTTCATGAAAGAAAGAAAAAAAATCTAATAATAAACGTTTTAGTAAATTTCTGATATAAAATTTGTTATCTTTATAACAAAGCCGAAAAGTACTTTAGCCTCTGTAAATTAGTCTTATCATCATTTAATCATCACATTTCTCAAAACTATCGCTGATTCAAGCAGAAAAATATTTTATTTTATCTGCCAAAATAACAGAAACATACGTAGAATATTTTCTTAACATTTCATACAATTTGAATATTATACCAATTTAACTAACTACTCACAATTTTAGGTAGATCCACAACAAAAGATTGAACATATTTTTCCATTTTTAAAATTAAAGAAAAAGAAAATCTAGAATTTTTACTTTAGCGCCTTATTAGAAGGGAAGTTCAAACTAGAAATTGAGATATTTTTTGTTGATTCTAAGGATTAATTTAAAAAAATTATTGTAATTTTTAAACTTAGTTTTAAGCTTACTTTGAAATATTTTAACTCGAGAATTTGATCACGCTACCTTGTGGAGATTCTGTAAAACTGTGAAAAAGGTCATAGATTCCATTTTTTTCTGCGTTCTAATATTTGAATGTAATGTCGTTTTTTCGGAACATACACGTATTTGAATTTTAATGGTTTATAAAAGTATAGCATGAGCTTAGTGGTTTTACTTCTATGAGCTCTAATATGTAAAGAAAATTTGAATTGCTCTAATTGATATGATGCAATGATTCTACCATTACGACATGTAAACGAATAATCATATGATATCGTAAACTTTTGAATAACGTTTTTCACTGAATACCTTCAATTTTCATCCGAATGACGGAGAAAACTACATCAAAGTAATAAATTAAGGCAAATCTGATAAATATTGTAGATTTAATAATTAATTGGTCGAGCTGATTTTATAAATTACTGGCATGCGTTCATTTTAAGTTAGATTCACGTAACATTCGAATGTTACGGAAAAAAAAGTGCCTATAAGAAAAAATAAACTGTAGCATAAAATATACTGTACATAGACGTACTGTACAAAGCATAAAATATACTGTACAACAACAACAATCAAACACAGAAAAGTCACATTAGTCTGGATTTCTTGAGTCCTACTGTGGGTTATTTTCGCTGTATAGTTTGCTGCTCCTTTGTTTTAACTTCTGATGATTTTATTACACTCGATACCTGTTATCATTGCAACTGTATTTAGTAGATAATTTAAGTACATTTGCTTGTAGTTCAATGAAGTTAAACATACGTTATGTCACGTTTATTAACATGGGCTGCAATAGCGGCACAACTCAAAAAATCAAGTTTTGAGATAAGTGGGTTTAAAGTTTTTATTCCTAAGCAAAATGCATAAGAAATGCTTTAGTTTGCGTAAACGAAGATTACCTTCAAGTTGAATTATGAGTTGTGCTAGTATTGCTGCTGAAGGAATGTGTATTCTCATATTTACACCTGCTCTTAGTCCAAAACACGTGTTTTTTTAGTTGTGCCACTGTTACAGCCCATGAGCGATATATGTTTACGTAAATTTCTTGAGTTACTTTATCTTTTCACCCTCGATGTCAAGTCTTTAGGGCAGATAATGTCCACATTCATGTATGTAACGATGCAACTAATTTGAATTGTTGCTATGAACAGAAAACGTTTGTTTAGTTTAAACACAATTTACCAGCATCTTCACTGAATAAGATTCGCATATCTAAATTATATATCAATGCGATTCGCGTATGCGGGAGCAGTTCATCTTGCTTGTAACTTCAATGCATTCGCGTGCACATATAAGGCTATCACAATCCCTTGTGTGGGAATGTTTAGAACTAACACATAAAAACCTATTCTCACAAGATTCGATTTTCTCCCCTACGAATGAAACTCACTAATCAAGTTCTCATTCGCATGTGAAAAAATTGCATTCAGTTGTAAACGGTCCTTAAAAGTTAAAACTGCTCGCCCAGGCACGAATCACATTATTAATGTTCTACCGCAGTGGGCGGCAAACTTTTTAGCCAAAGAGCCAAATATGAACATTACAACAATTTTTAAAACAAATTGGGAGCCAAANAAAAGTTAAAACTGCTCGCCCAGGCACGAATCACATTATTAATGTTCTACCGCATAAGCGAATGAATTTCCACAAGTCTTATATGCTTTTTTAATTCAGTTTCTCAACCACCCCACAGTTAAGCAGGCTGTGATTTAATAAAAAAATTTCATTTCGAAAAAATATTACTCTTTTGCCATTGAAAAACATTGTTTTTAAGAAAACGAAAGTATATTGTGTTCATAGATTATTTTCAGCTTCTTCAACTATTTATTGTGTATTTTTAAAGCACATTTTAAACTAGGTAACTCATTCTGTCTTGCTATTCGGTTTGTTGGATAAAAACGAAGTACTAACATACGATGAAAAATACTTGAAAAGGAAAATGATAGACTGAGTAAAGTAAACAACAAACCATCTGTCAAAGAAAAAAACACACCGTCTTTTTTCTTATCTCACCCTTCTTTTGATTAAAGTTAATTGAAAAAAAAAGACAAAAATAAATAAAAATTACACAGTAGATAAAACACATGACAAATTTAAAAATATTTATTTTCGAAGTGTGCAAGAATTTATTGTTTAATTCCTAAAGCTAACAACAGTTTATTTAAACAGGAACTATTCAAATTGAATAAAGGGAAACTATGTAAAGAAATTATTGACATCGATGTTCTATTTAAAGTTTATCAGTTTTTTAAAAAAATTAACTCAACATTTCTTAACTTTTTCCTAATTTAGATTTTAAGTGTTACTAATATATTTTAACTGAAATGATTTAATTTAAATTTCGAATGAATTCATTCTCATGACATATTTTTGCAAAAAATTGAGAAACTATTTTTTCATTGAAATAAGTTATTAAGGAGAAAAATATACTGTTAAAATATATTTTTAAGTGGTTTATTTTTGTCCTAAAGATTGAAAACAAAATTTTAAAATTGAAAAAAAAGAAAAGAAAAAAAGAAGACATTGAAGCAATTTTTATGGAACTCTTCATTTAAAAAAAAAATCTTAAAAAAAAAATTTGAACTTACACTTATAATTCTTTATAAAAAGAATACTCTGTAACAAATATCAGTTTATAACTATTTAAATAATCGATAGATTATCTCTCCGACTATTAAAGAAAAAATAACATTTTAACATAGAAGAAAAACATTAAAAATTTAAGAGAAAACTTTTTTATTAAAAGTTCAGAGCTTCAAATGTGTGAGAAAATGCCTCTTCAAATTTTCCTTCAATGAAAAGCCTTTAAAGCAAACAGAACACACATTTGGCTTTTCTTTAGTGTGGGTGAAGTAATGCTTCTTCAAATTAGCTTTTGAATAAGAGGAATAAGAACACATAGAGCAGCAATGCATCTTAATGGCAGAACATGGAGCACTTGACTTTGAACAGGACTTTTCCTTACGAGGTATAAAGAAACCTATATGTAGTTGAAAAAATAATTTTAATAAACTATAGAAACAAGTGTAACAACTCCATACGTAAATAATTTTATTAAATTAAGTTAAATAGAAGTGATTTCGAAAATACACTGACAAAATCATTTTTCTATAATTGCCTTGGTAATTTTTTTGTTTTTGAAAAAAGTTAAAACTTAAGTAATAAATTATTAACCTTTGATTAGAAAATTAAATTTTAAGTAAAAAGAATAGAACCCTAAGTGCCATGTTGATTCTGCTGAAATTTTAAATAAAATTTAAGATATGAAGAAATCAAAGCAAGGGAATAATCTTTTTCAATGTTTATGATTAGTTTGCTTAGTTATTTTCAAGTTAAGTATCAATATGAATGATTAATACACAGAATAAAAGCTTAAAGTTTCCTTATAGATAGTTTTTTTAAAAATCAAAATTCTTTTTAAATAGGAAGTTAGAAAGTGGTTTGATATCGTATCTTTATCATAATCGTTTTCCCTCAAAATATTTTCAGATTCTTACAAAGCTAATGCTTTAAAATAGGATTTGTAAAAACACTTTTAGTCACCACAGATGGTGACTTCAAAATCTATTTATATTATATTTACAAAAAAAAAAAAAAAAAAAAAAAAAAAAAAAAAAAAAAAAAAAAAAAAACTAGTGAAATAAATAGAATTATATAAATGAAACTTCAACGAATTCAAAAGTAGTTGACAGATGGGAATGACAGTTTTATAGAATCAAAATGAAAAAGTATTGAGCAGTGGAAAATCCCAAAGATTTTACTATGTTTAAATATTGAAGTTTCTTTTTCTCCATGCAAACGGCAAAGATAATTTTTTTAATACATACATTGATAGTAATACATGGATGGGAAGAGCAATTTCGCAAAATCAAAAAAAAAATAAAANAAAAAAAAAAAAAAAAAAAAAAAAAAAAAAAAAAAAAAAAAAAAAAAAAAAATTAAGCAGTGAAAAATCCCCAAAATTTCATGAAAGTATTTATGAAAAAATTTATTTTTTTACAGATTCTCCAATATGCTACTTTAATAAGTGTCCAAAATTTAAAGAAATTATGAAACAAATTTCTATTAGAAATTTCTTCTATTTTCTATTTGAATTATTTCTATTTGAAATGATGCCGAAACTAGTAAAAAGATTTTTAAAAAAAAGAGCAGTCTAATTTTAGTTTAAAATAAAAAGATACTTAATGAACTAGACATTGACCAAATCCAAATTGTTTTATTATGAATATACAACTCATGAAGAGTTCTAACACATCCCTTTACAATTAATTTTTAAAATATAATAACTAATATTTTTCTAGTACTACATACATTGTAAAGTAATATTTGAAAGCTATAACTTGATTGTTAATGTTCCCAAAATGATGTTAAAGTCTGAATAAGGATAGCATTTAACTAAACAATGATGTTAAACTTCAAGTCAAGTTTCCCTGACATATTGTTTGGAATTCACCAAAACCATGAATTTGTCATTTCTGTGATTTGCAGATTGATGCTTTCAGCCTAAAACTAATGAGCCATTACAGGCGGTATACATAAGCTTCATATTCAGCAAAAAAATTATTGCTACATAAAAGCAAAAGCAATCTTTACATAAAAAAATTTAAAGTCTTACACTTTGTGAAAAAACTAACATATAAGAATCTTCTTCTCTGTTCAATACTTGCCCTTAAAAAAACTATCTTTTCCAGCTTTTAATTACTTTTCTTTTATTATGCTTAAGCCCTTATTATCTAATACCTATAGGGCAAGAGCTATTTTTCAAAATTGGATTAGTCAGCTAATCAGGAATGCTTTAAGCATACATTACATAACATACTCAGTTGATGTATAACATATATTAATAAAATTTATAAAAATAGATTACTATTATCGTAAACTGAAAAAGTTCAATAATTTCTCCTTCGATTGCTCTTGTCAGAGTAAAACAAAAAGCCAGGCATAACAAAGATTATTATTAAACAACAAACAATTATTAAATTTCTAACATGAGCTTTAGAGACTATATTACAAAGTGGATCCATTTCAGTTGCGTGATTTCTTTGTTTTTTTAATTTAACATCTATTTAAAAATTGCACACTTTATTTTGTGAAATGCATAGGATTTGCTTTGATGCAATTTAAACCAAAATATCACACTAGGATGGTTGCATACAGTTAGTAACAATGGAAAATCACAATTTAAGTAAAATATTTTGAATAAATTTGGAAGTATTCCCTTCGGATATGTTCGAATACAAGTCAAGAGGGGTGTTACTGCATTTCTTGGAACAGGTTGTCGAAGTCTAAGTTTTAGATTACTCATGAGGTAGTTTAAAATCCTGTTTAAAAAGGAGCTAGGTTTGTGTGTTAATTTTAAATGAAATTTTGCTTTGCCAATTTAGAAACTTAATTTTTTTTTAAAAGAATAAATTGAAAAAAAAAAAGACTTAGATTGCCTAAAAGAAGAAATTGCTTTATTTTATTTTTGAAAAAGGTGAAACATTTCTTGCAGATTAAAACATTAAAATTTTACCTCCGAATAAGATAAATTCCTTTCAAGTTTGTATCAAAAGTTTTTATTGCAGAAAAACAGCAATTTCGAAAATACTTGACTTTTTAAGAAATAAAAATGCGTTAACAAGTTTAAAGTGTTTCAAAAAAGATAAATTTTTCAAAAATTAATTTAAATGTAACTTAACATGAACAAGTATATGTTTCTTTAGATTTTCCTTTTGAGAAAATCGGCGAGTGCAATAATGACATCCATAGGGTTTTTCACCAGTATGTATATACTCATGTTTTTTTAAGTTAGTTTTAATACAAGTTGAATAAGAACAAAAGCGGCAATAGAGTGGAGGAGGCTTAGCAGGACATTTTCTTGGAGAGAATGATTGGTAACCTGTAAAATATACAATTCAAAATTATAAAGCTAATCTATGTCAGAAATATTAGCAAAAATAAGACAGTCAGCCCCACTGAAAGAAATACCATTAATTCCAATTAACTTAAGTTAAATAAGCCAATTATTCAGTTATGGAGGATATACATTAATCAAGCCTAAATACAATATTTCTTCAAATTTAAAATGATATGCATTGTAACACTCATTGAAACAAATTCATCTTGTATAAATTATCTTTTAAAAATCTAATTTACAGTATTACTGCTACACTATTCAATATATTTTTTGAAATTGGGGAAGTGTTTAGTGAATTTCAGGAAAGTGTCGAACACTTTGTTATAAGAAAACAGCTCGTCATTCCTTCCAGAAATATATATAATTGTGTGGATTACTGAAAGTAACACACTTAAATTGAACTAACGAAAGTAAAAAGGGATATAAAAATCTGTATAAATTTACACTCCATAGAAAGTGTTTTGCATTTAAAAAAAAAAAAAACTGGTGTGTGAAATATTTGTGAAGCTTTTTTTTTTTTTAATAATTTCATATTTGTTAACTATTCTTATAAATTGTGAGGCTGTGTACGAAAAATTCGAATGGTTTAACTTTCAAAAAGGTGTAAATCCTTTTAATAATGACAAGTTCTAATCACACTGTGATAGTGTTAAAATGTAACTTTTGTTCAACAATTTTGTTCCTGAAGTAACTAAAGCAAGTTTTATGTTAATTTTTACAAATAGCAAAAAGACATTCAATGCAAAATAAAAAAAACAGATATCAATAATTGTTCTGATTGACAAGATTACTTAGAATATTGTAAGTAGGAAGAATGTGCAGGAATGATAACAGACCTCAAAACCATTCAGAAAGCAAGATAGAGGAAAAAATTAAAAATAGGAACATAGAACTATATGTAATAAACAAGTGTCAGTATCTGTAAAAAAAAAAAAAAAAAAAGTAGGCAATCATTGTCTAGGCACTGATACCTGTTTCTTATAATCGATAACATAATTGTTTAAAACAAAAGAAATGAATAGCAATTTTTAAAACTTAATAACATAAGACTTAAGCTAATTGATAAGTCTTAATAATAACTCAGTCATTTGGGTTATGATGTACATTTAAATATGTTTTACCACTAATTTTTAAAATGCACCACATAGTGTTTTTTAAGATTTTCTTTCAGCGCAAACCTTTGATTGCATATATGACAAGCATGTGGACGTTCTCCAGTATGTGTCAGTAAGTGCCTTTTGAGGCACCACCTAAAAGGTGACACATATGAACAAAGTTGGCAGCCAAAGTACTTAGCTTTTGAAAGATGAGAAGTTTCATAGATTCCTGTAAAAATAAATTGCATTTAGAAAAAAAAAGTCTAACATATACTATAGAAACAATTTAGAGTAGAGTCAAGAAAAAAATCTCAAGAGTTTTTCTGGAGGTTATTAATTTAATTCATACAGGTTTTTCTTCGATATACAATTGCAGCTTCTAATGAAAAAGTGTACCAATGAACTTTTTTTTCAAAACATAATTTTTATTAATACATTAAAAAATAAAGGTCGCCATTCATAAACCGATAAAACAAAGACTAGGTATGACTAGATTAATTTCTTTCCAAAAGAAGTTTAAAAATACAAATTTTAAATATGTTATGCTTAAAATTTAAAGCATATTTTAATGTAAAAGCACAATCAGGGTTTCCACTCAAATTTAGAAATAAAAATCCCTAATTATTTCAGGAACATTTCAATGAGATTCACAAACATGTTTTCCCTATTCATTTCATTAAATATATATTTGGAAAAAAATATGAAATTTTGTAAAAACAAAATTTCAGTAAATGAAGGCTTTAATCTGCAGATTTAATAATACAAAAGTAAGTAAATTACAGATAAAAGAAATATTTTGCATGAAACTGGACAAGTTTAAAAACTTAATGTAACAATTTATTTACAGGGTCCTATAGTTAGCCATCTAATATTGTATTTGTGATTAAGAACCAAAAATAGTTTATACAAAAAGCTTACATTTTCAAAAACATACTATTACTAAACTGCAAATATTTGAAACAATTGTTAAGTAAAGAGCATTTTGAGAAATTAATATTCTAATTAATAAATCTAAAAAAATTAAAGACAGAATTTTTAAGAAAATTGTTTGATAAGAAATATTAAGCTTTTTTTTTAAATTTACATTAAAAATTGTAATAGAAAGAATACATTTCAAACACACATTAATTAAACACAGCAAAGGATGACATACATCAACAGGGTACATGGTTTAATTACTAAAACTAGAATGAAAGAAATATTGACAAACAAAAGACAGGCAAGTAAGTGTTTAATAAAACAAAGGGTTTGAATACAAATACTCTGCGTCTTTAATACAAACTTAATTATCTTTTAAATACAGAATAACAGCATAACACAAACCAAAGAAATAACAATTATCTGAGTAAAAGTTCTTTTAATGAAATTTTGAATAACAAAACATAAATAGTAAATATACTTCGTGTGATGTCGAGAAAAAAATTCCGTTCCCATTCAAAGTACAGAGAAATATAACATTTTTCAGGTACATATAATCATACATCTTTATGACTCTTACGATGATGAATATAACGAGTGTAGCGATGAGAAAATCTCATAGGGCATAAGCCACATTCAAATGGTTGATCACCGGTGTGACGATTCATATGAGTTTGCAAACTCTCTTTGCGGCTAAATGATCTTCCACAGTAACTGCAAGTAAACTGATTATGTATTACAGTATGCTTCCTTATTTCAGCATAATGCTCAGATGAAAAGGGACAAAGTAAGCATTCAAATCGTATCTTACTGAAATTCCCTAAAGCCAAATTGTCAATGTACTTTGGGTTTTCATTTTTCTTTTTAGGTCTCACTGAGCCTGAAAAATAATTTTAAAAAAATTACATTTTAATACTTTTAAAAAGCTAAGAAGTATTAGATACAAAATAATAGAAAAGATACGCATCAAAAATTTAGCGTTGCAGGAATTAAAAGAGCCAACTCATACATTTGAGAACATTGTACCAAAAACAAGCTACATTTTTTTATATAAATTATAATTGTGATTTTAGATTCAAAAAACAGAAATTTAAAAAAAATAATATTTTGAGTAGGGCTTAACAGAGTGCAGTTGTAGCATTCTTATATCTTTAGAGGACCTAGGTATGATAAATAAAACAAAGCATGTCTTCATATTTCTAATTTGTAGGCAATTTTTTTTCTTAAAGTTACTGTAAATATTTTTCAAAATAAGTCAAGTTGTTTATACAAATTAAAGACATCTTATAGCTCTTTTTTTAAATCAAATGTTAACTTTTATTTTCCAACTCTTACCTTTCTGCATTCCTTACCTTTAGTAAATGAAAAGTGTATACAAACAATAAGCATTATTTCTAGTTATAAAATGGCAAAATAGTGAATTAAATATTTTTTGATAATTATTATGTATTCTCAATAAAAAAAAAAATTCATAAGAATTTGTTTTAAATTTTTGTTTCCTTTAGCTTTTTGCATCAAATTATATTTTTATGGCACAAGTATTAATGTTTATCTAACATAGTAAAAATCAAATGAAAGTAAAAACAAATCATATATGTTCTTTCTCTCAGGCATTAAAGAAGGTGCCCATTAACTGCCCCTGAGATCCCACTTTAAAGAGAAAAAATAATATTGAAAAAACAAATTTAGAAATAGGATATTAAGACCTTTCAAACAACTTAAATGCATATGATTAATAACTCTTTCAACCTTAGAGTTCAGGGATTAACCTAGATGCTTTTCTTCAAAGTAAAACAATTTGATATCTTGTTAAAATGCTGTCCTTCTCAATGTATTTTTCTTACAAATCAGATAAAGGCATAAGGTTGAAAAGTAATTTCTTAATAATCAATGACTTTTTTCTTCATATTTTAAAATACTCAGTAACAACAAAGTGGTATAATTATACAATGTGGCATTATCAGTAAATAATTGTATGATTTGCTTAATAATTTATTGCAAAAAAAATATATATTTAAAGAAGAGAAAAACTCCAGTCTTATTTTAAATTAAGTTACTACTTTTAGATTTTGCAATCCATAACTTGAAATATATATATATTTTTTACTACAAAATGGCACACTTTGCATTTTGTTTGTGGACACTTTTGAATAGTACTACTTAGGTGGAAAGTGAAGAGCGGGAGATCGTTGTAAAGCATTTTCTATTTAAAGAATTACTTAAGAGTTAACAGACTTTATTTATATTTAGTTGAATTATAAGTTTATCAGTATGCCTGTTTCTGTGTTCGTAGTGCTCCTGGATCTGAGCAAATCATGATTGCTTAATCTTATGGCGCACTCATATGTAGAGTAGAAAAATCTTTTGAACCAAAATCAATTAGTGCATATTTAAAAATTTATAACTAGAAGATTAACCCTAATTAGAAATATTAACACAACTAAATTAGTTACAAAAAATGAATTAGATAAGTATTTTAGTAATAATAGTTCTCATCACAGAAGAGAGATCATTAATAAGAAACTCTAAAAGTAAAGAATTCTAACTATTTCAGTAAAATATTAAAGCACTAAAGTTTTACACAAAATAGATAGACAAAGTTTACACATCATGAAATGTTAAATAAAAAATCAAACAAATACTAACTTTAATATCATAACAATGTTTATATTTTCCACTTATGAGCAACAATAAATTTTTATTATTTCCCATTTTTTGTTATTTGTATAGTTTTGCAATAAAGATTTTGTGTAATACTCAGGTTTAACATATTTCAATCGATATTAAGCAAAGCTTTTTTTAAGTGAACCAGTACAATAACAGTATTTTAAAGAAACACATTCCAAAATTCGATTTTACTGATTATAATGTATCAGTTGGTGCTTAATACGAGCACTCCTGTGTGCAAATTTCATAGGACAATGACGACAACTATATGGCTTCTCCCCAGAATGAAGAACCATATGCTGTTTTAAGCCATCTTTACGTTTGAAGGAACGACTGCAAACAGTACACAAAAATGGACGATCCTCAAAATGAACAGAAATATGATTCTTGTACATTCTATAGGATGAAGTACTGAAAGTGCAATTTAGTTCTGGGCAAAAATACTCATCTGTATACATCATTGCATTACCAAAGTCTTTAACAGAAGCAGATTTTTCATGGCCTATAGCTATGACTGTAACACCATCTATATCTATATACTCTGGACCAGGTATACCTATAAAAAATAACAAAAAAAGTTATAACACTCTTTTAAATACTTATTTTTTTGAACAGCACAACAAATACAGTTTAAAACAATGAAATATATAAAAATAACATTTTATCTTTAAAACCTGCTTGGTATAAAAATTATTAATAAATATCACAATTATCAGCAGCTAATCCATTATTCATTAGAGAGTCTTCATGGAATATAGTAAGTAAATTTACACACAATAAAGGGAATTATTTAACACCCTTTAACTGATAGGAAAGTTTACATAAATTGATAACTTACTTTTGTTTATAAAAAAAAGCCTACTTATTCGTAAATTAGTTTGATGCTTTAAAATTAAAATGCTAAAAAATAGAGAGGTCTAGATTAAAATGAGATGGATCTTATCTCTGTTCTTTAAAATTTTAATATAATATATTCATGATTAACACTTCAAATTATTTTAGTAATATAGCTCCTTTTCATATAATGTAAGTGGTAATTAAAATAGCTTTGTAATATGAAAAGCAAATATGATTAATAAGAAACGTGATAATTTTTGGATCTTTATTTTTAAAAAAGTAAAAGCTTTAGCTAAATAATTTTTTTTTTTCAATTTTGGAAAAAATGACAAAAAATCATAATTTAAAAAAAAAGAATCTAATAATAAACTAAATCAGAAATTAAGAAAAAAAGAATTTGAGTTTGCTCTAACTAAAAAAAATATAAAATGATCTGAGCATTTTCAATTAAAATAATTTTTGATATTCATTTAAAATTATTTCGTATCTAGGACTCATATAAGATTCTATTAAACAAAAAAAGAAAAATACATCATGTGAGCAAGCAATTCCTGAATAATTAACTAACACCCAAAATTAAGGAATTTGCTAAAATTTTCTTATGGCAGAAATCTTAAAAAAAAAATTCACTTTAGATTTTAAAATAAACATTTTTTAGTTAATAAATCTACATCAGTTTTTCCATAAATTTTTTTTAACACAAAAAAACCAAAAACATTTCTTAAAAAAACATTAACATTATAAAAAAAAAAGAAATATGCCACACACACATACTAACTGTTTTGAACAATTGAGCTTTTTTTAAAAAAAAAAAAAATAAGAAAAACACATAATCAGTAATATCATTAAAGGCACAAAAAATTATAAGAAGTTTTATAAAAAAAAATAGGACAACCTTTTAAATTATTCGTTGTAAATCAAGTTAACCAGAGTTTAATAAAAATGAATATATAATTTCATGCAAGCATGTTAATTAGTCCTATTTAACTTCTGAACAAAGAAAATCATTTTAAATTTATTATTTTTTGAACAATACCCAAGTTTGAAAGAAAATGTTTATACATATGTTGTTAAATTTTTATAATTACTTGATTATTTTTAAAATTATGATTATTAAAAGTGTTTTGGATAATATATTTTTTTTCTTAATTTAGGAGACAAGACATTACCCAAAACGTAAATTTGTTATATTGAAAATAGTGCAATATGTTGTAAAATAGCAATATTTTCCGACAATATAATGTGATACTAAAAACTCAGCTAGCACCTGCACTAGTTTTACCACAGTAGAAACAGTGATGTTGTATTTACTTCTCGTTTTGGAGAACTCATTAATTCCTTTGGCTCCGTAGCACATTCCTAGAAAGTCCCAAAAATGCCAAAATCTAAACTTTAAATGTAGGACAAATATGATGCTAAATGGCATTATTTTTCACAAAAATAGGAATATTAGAACTGCAAGGCCTGGAAAATAAATGCTGAGAAAATTTGACTCGAAAGTACCGCATGACAGTACCAATTATGATTTTCTACTCATTTATGTGACATTTGTATTTTTTCAAGTAGTTTTAACTTAATTTACACGCAAAACAAAGCTAAGTATTCTTCATTTGGACAATTAATTTTTTGCATACAAGATTTTTAAAATTAGAAGCATAAAAAAGAATAGAGCTTGTGAATCGTTAATTATCTCTAAAAGATGCTAATATTTTTGACACATATTGATTGCATATATTAAGCAATAACGAAATGTTTTCTAACCGTCTGGACCTTATTGCTTTAAATAAAAAGGTTAAACAAAATTCTTTTATTCTAAATTCGCGCAGTACAGCCGATACAGACTTGCTGTTGGGTAGAATTTGTACATATATGGAACTTGCAAAATGGAAAAACATTGGCTTAGGAGAAATACTGTAAACTAATTTATTACAAAGACCTGAGATAATAAACAGGAACATGAGTAGACTAAATACATTTATGAAGCATAATTAAACAATGATAATGATCATATAAGTTGACTGATAGAGAATAAAAAGTAGATAATTTATAGAGAAAGTCAAAATGAATGCTACAATTTTAGAGGTGCACTACACAAAATGTAATCATTAAAAATGTATACACAAGCAATAGTAATATATGCAGCTCCTCTTAAATGCTCCTTTTATTATACGGCATAAATCAAGCCTGTAATGTAATTCTGGCCGAACTTTGTGCAGCATGTCTGTATCCATGCTGCAAATAACAGTTGTGATACAATTTTTTCACATCAGTCATGGTCAATTGACCTGGAGATACATACGCGCGATCTTTTACCAATCTTCACAACAAAAAATTACATGGTTGCGAGAGCTGGAGAATGTGGTGGCCAAGGCAATAGTGTATTATCCACAGTAGATACATAAATAATCCATCCTTGATGTTAAGTGTTATTGAGAGTGTTGTTTTTCTGCTCAATTTGTTTTTGTAGAAACACTGATGACAATTAGACTTCCATTGCATCTATTGGAGACAATTCAAAGCTTGCATATATTATCTATGCTTGAGAGTATATTTTTAATGAATACAATTATTACATATTGTGTTAGTATACCTATGAAGTTGGGGCATTCATTTTTACTTATATATTTTTTACTACATTTGACACTTTGAATAATATAGATGCTAACTCAGATTGAAGAAACAAAACTATTAAGACTTTTATCAAAACTTAAATAAAAATCATACTTTATGTTGATTGCATTATCACATAATATCTCATTATATGATAATGTAATCCAGAAGTCTGCCACTTGTGGACAAACCTCTCAACCACAAAAAAGAGGAGTAAATAAAGAGATCCCGAAACATAAACTAAAGTATAAATTAGTGCATTCAATGTCAATCTTCAATAAAACATTACAAATCGCAAAAAGAAATATGAAATATAATTTTAAAAAATGTGTAATTTAAAAAACACACACATTATGCTTAAAAATTACAATGTCAATAAAAAAAAAAACAATTATTGCAGTTTGTTATCTTTCCAGTGCACACTCATGTGTCTTTTTAAATTTTCCTTAAGCGTAAATGTTTTTCCACAAATAAAGCAAACATGGGGTCGTTCTCCAGTATGAATTAAAACATGCTTTTTTAAGTCTGCATTTGATAGGGCGGCATAAGAACAATATGAACACTGGAATTTTCTATTGGAATTCACTGGTAATGTTTTGAAATGGCTTTTTTTCTGTTGAATACAAGATCCTAAAATTCAATAGAAATAATTAATGGATTAATATTTCACAGTATCATTGCTACAAACAATAAAAAAAAACAAAAAAATATTGGTAAAAAAATTACACAACAATTAAAATAGAAGATTTCAGAATTGGGTATTCAAAACAGAATTTTATTTGATTAGAAATTTGTTTTTAACAAGAGAAAATTCATGGTTCGACTTAACACGGAATATACACAAAATTTACCCTTTTGAATTTTAAAAATTAAGGGTCCACTTATACTATGGAAAATATAGATGAAAAATCTGGTGAATTTTATTGAATTATTCTATCAAACGTTAAGACAAAATTGGAATTAAAAAAATTTCTATTACCTTTATATTCCAAAGGGTATAGCCCGAAACCTGTTAAAATCAATGTTTTAAGATATTTTATAACAGAAAATAAAATAGCATTAATTTCCCTTGTTTTCAGAATTTAAAAAAAGATAATTTAAGCAGAAAAAAAATGTTCCAAGTTTTATTTTGATTATTTGAGAAATTACTAATTTGTTAACCAAAATAATTTAAATTCTTTCTATGACAAATTTTAGCATCAAAACAAAATTCTTAAATTATATTGCAAGCACAAAATAAATTTATCTTATATTTTTTCTTACTATCTAATATTATAATTCTTTTATTTTATTACGCTAAGATTTTATGCTGAAAATTTATTTTATATTACACTGCTTACATTATCACCAAGGGGAAAAGAGGAATTATTAACTTGATGGATGAATTCTATGAACCCTGCTCAGAATTTATTGCTAATTTGGAGATAATTCATTTGTTTGTAAACTGAATTCCAATTGTTTGTAGTCTGATTTTATTACATTTAATACAAAGAAAGTTTTATTTAAACATGACAATACTTTGATTTATTTTATAAGGAAATTTTTATCCCTCTAAAAGCATCAATTTCAACCAAGTTTCAAAAAAAATTTCTTAAAATTGCAATAAGAAAAAAAAATTTTTTTTGCAGCAAAAAGTTTACAAAAACTATCCAACACAGTGGGTTTGCAACCTGTCGCACTTGAATGGTTCACTGCTTTATCACTAAAAATTGGAAAGACTCATCTAAGAAATTTTATTAACTTTTTAAACCCACATCTAAAAACTTGGAAAATTACAGAATCTATAACATTTAAATTCCAGAATTTAAAAGAATTCAAGGTTTTAAGAGGTAGAAATCTCTGCATACTTAAATTTTTTTTTAATATTAAGATCGAGTAAATTTAAAACCAATTGAACTTCAGTAACTAACTGTAGTTAAAAGATTTATTTAAAATAATCAAGCTTGCATTACCAAAAAAATTGAAAAAATTTTTCTTGCTCAGAACACATGATTTTAAATTTTAGTTATTCTTACTTATGGCTGAACCAAAAGCAATTCATCAAATATTAAACTGAAAAAAATAAAATCAAAGTTTTAGAAAGCATGTTAGATTTGATTCATTGAAATAACATTATTTAAAAAAGAATGAATGACTAACTAGAGATAGTAATATAATATAGTTCAGTTTGGTTACTAATACAAATACTTATCAAACTGCATAATATCAATTGTATTTTATGCAAAGATTATCAAATACTAATTCACATATAAAAAAAAATTCAATTTGCTTTGAAGAACTACAATAATGTCCGTGAAAAAACAATAGCTTGTATTTGTAATAAGAATAAAATCAAATATTTTTTAATTCTGAAAAATCTACAATAAATAGAATGTTAAAGCAATTACAATTAAGATAATACAGACACAATGAATTAGATGTTAACAATATTGGTCATTTAAATATAACAGAATTTTGAGATATAAATAATAATTATATTACAATTAAATTACAAGGTACTTTAAACATGCTTTCCATAAACATGATGTTTCACAAATTATGTATACTACATTCTATTAAAATACTGATGAATCTGAAAAGAGTAAAATTAGTAAACAGTTTCAATTAACACAATGCGTTGTGTAAAGCGTGGCATTAATGAATGATGCACTGGCTGCTTTATCTTGGACTGCATGGTATCAATTAATGCCTCAGCTCATAAATTTAATAAGAGGACATGATTCTCTTATGCATGACATTACAATGTTAAACACATAAACATCAAAAAACCAGTCTGTTAAAACTACTTATATTAGTTACACTAACCAAATTGCTTTACACCAGTGCTTTTAGTGTATAAATAGATAATAACTTTCGATTTAAAAATTTAACACCATAAAGCAGGGCTGCAGATGTACTTAATAATAAACCTAATTTTATTAGTTGGCAAAGAGTTAATTCTGATCTTAGCAAACATCAAAGTTCAGATAATTGCTTTAATTTCTCTTAAGGAGACTGATTAAAAATCAGTTTGGAGTAATATTAATATTGCAGAATATTAAGTAACTGTTTTATAACTTATATTTAAAGAGAGAGAATACAATAAAACAGTAATCATTAAAAATTGTATCTAGTGATGATTTTCGCATAAAATATTCCTGTATCGAGCCAAATGTGTTAAAAAAATATGTCCAGCAGTTCTTAAGAAGATATTACTATGATATATTTCTTAATTGTCTTGTTGCTTGCGTAAGAATTTAAATAGGTTATGTATACTACGAAATAAGGAAGTGAGATCAAATCAAAAATTAAATTTTAAAAAATGTTAATTCTTTTGCACTTATATACATTAGAAATTAGAAGATTCTTGGAAAGCAAATGAACATTATTAATATTAAAATTTAATTTTAACTGCTATACTGTTAAAATTATTCTATAAAGAGATAATTATTTTAATGTTTATAATACGCCGAACACTTTTTATTGATTATTTATAATGTAAAGTGCTCTATCGTATAAAATTAGCTTAAAGCTTACTTAGAATACTTAATATCAGTTATTTAACGCGCCATCTTATGGAAAGTTGTAAAACTATAATAAAGGTCATATATTTTTTTTTCTCCTTCTAACATTTAAATGTAAAGTTTGTTTATAAATAGGATCTGATTTTTAATGACTTAAGATAATTCATAAAATTAGTTTGCTTTATTGAGTTCAAGACTTAAAAAATAATTCACCTTCCATTCCTAATTCACTTTTCTTTTCTTTTTTATTCACGTTAAGAAATTTTCTCCGAGATCTATTTTCTACTTCATTTTGCACAGTTAAATATTAAATACTCATTGCCAAAACAGTTAATGTGAAACTTATGTAAAGGATAAGTATGCAGTGCCTTTGGCATTGATGCCATGATGGAAATATACTTTCCAAATTTCCAATAGCGTTTTTTTGAAACAATTAATAAGAGTTCCGTGAGCATGTTTAGGAATTCTGTTCTTCCCAAAGGCATCTCATGCCCTATTTTTTGAGTGGAACAAAATTAAAATGCATGCAATAGTTCAACAAACATTACAATAGTTCTCAAAATTTGACATTAAAAATATGGTAGCAAAATTCTTTTTGCTAAATATCTGCAAAATGATTAATTTTATTTGATTTTTACCTAATTAAATTTAAATCGGTGATGACTTCATATGTATGAAATATTAAGTGGGACTTAGAGATTTCTAATTGTTGTGAGGGACATATACCTACCATCGTCCACGCTAATAAGGCTCTTCCCTGTTCCCTTTTCTTCTGCTCAAATGTATCTAAAGGAATTGCAATGCTTTACTTTCCAAACTTTTTGTTTTTGGATTGTCTAAAATTTGTTTGAATCTTTCCCGAGTGCTTTCTTCAAACACAATACTTAATACAGGTTTCAGTTCTACTTAGCTTCGAAGCATAAATTTTTTTAATTTGTTTGGAATTGAATACTGAGTATGCCAAGTAGGTTTCCAGTGTTCTAGCAGGAGCTATCTAAGCAGTTTTTATTGCAAATACCCAAAATATTATATAAGCTCCTTTTATTTTTCATCTTATTCAAATAATTTACCTCATATAGTTTATATAAACTATCTGTGGTAACATATGTTGTGTGTTTAATTGTGTGATCAATTGATCATTGACGTAAAATTACGGAAATTTCCAGTTATTGAAAATTTGAAACAAAATTCTATTGAGCCAGTCATCGCTTCTAGAGTCAAGTTTGTTGAAAATATTTATTTTTATAGGTTCGATGTCTTTAAATAATAGAATTTTGCGACTGTTAGAACAGTGAATAAGGGCTGGCCAAGATGGAAAGTATGATTATTAGGTTGAAAAGTAGGTTTTAAAAGTTCTTTTTAAAAAAATGTTACTTAAGTTATATTTTGGAGAGTGTGGTATAGGATTCGTTAAATGTGGAACATTTGTGTGAATTAAGTTCTTCATTTCTGTCGAAAGAAAAGAAAAGTATACTCTATAATTCGAGATAAGCTATACCGTGCTCTACATTTGAAAGATTTGGAAATTACTTATTGTTTTTAAAATTTCTGGTACGCTAGCTTCGCACATTATTATAAGTAAAAGTTTAGAACCTAGCTTAATTGTGCCAGAAGTTTTTATCTTCATTTATAATTATTGAAATGTTATATTACGGGCAAATCTGTAATGCGACCAAACTTTGGGTGGTTGGAACTATTTTATTACTATTATTGTTACGATTACTATTATAACTATTATTATAATTTTATTAATAGATTATTTTTATTATAAACTGTTTTATTTAAAGTAGGCCCAAATTCCTAAATTTGTAACTATGATAATTTAAAACTGTGCAATAGTTTAATTGATTTCGATCGACTTCCAAATTCACTTTCAATTAGAAGTTTGCAAAATATTTTAACTAATGTGAATCAATATATATTTGTCAAAACGGCTTCAGGTATATTTTCATTAAAAAACACTTCTTATTGAGATAGTTGATTGAATACTTAATTTAGTGAGTGAAAAGCTGGAAGCGATTGCACGACTATATTGGTGCATAAAAGATCAGAAAAAACACATACCTGCATACACCTCATCGTGATGCGATTTTTTCAGAATGGGAAGATATAGGCTAGCTAGTTTTCCAGACCTGAATTTGATAGAGAACGTTTGGGACTAGCTTGGCTGTCAAAAATACTGATTTGAGTCCTCCTCCACTATAGTTACATGAGTTAAAATAAGCTCTCCCCATTTCGATGTCTTACTACTCAATTCGATGCATGGAAGATCGATGCCATCAATGCATTGCTCCCTAGAACATATTCTTTTGTGACGTTTCCGCGACAATTTCTAGCATAAAACTGTGATGCAGTATTTTCTCAGAGAAAAGACTTTTATGCTAAGTGCATCATGATACATAAATGGAATAAATCGTATTTGTGGTTGAAATTAAATAGTGTTGTATTTAATAATAAAAAAAACCCCTTTAATGCATATATTCTAAATTTCCTATTTCGATGTCTTTTCATTTTCAAATTCACAGAAAACAAGTTAAACCCTAACTTTTGGAGGCCAGTGCATATAAAGCTGATTGATCTATTACGGACGTAGACCTCAATTTTATTTGTTTCATACTCTTTCAAATATTGAATTAACTGTGGACGTTTGATGAAACAAGTTCAAGCAGAACTTGTTGCTTCAAACAACTTGATTTCATATTGAGCTGAAAGCAAATACAAAATTACGTTTTTATGCTTACGCTTTTACGTTAAGTGCATAGCATAGTCACGAACTAAATATAAAAGTAAATAAAATCAAATGGAAATTATAAATAAATCTTAGTAAGTATTAAACATTAATTTATGGAGAAATTATCTTAATTACAATTAAAAGTTTACAAACTTGTTTTTGAAACACACAGCAAGGCTATAAAGAATGTGACCCATACCTTGACAACATTGAAAATTAACAATCAAACTCAAAACTATGTAGTTATAATCAACACCCAAAATTTCCAGCCAAAGTGCTCTAAGTTACATTGGTGACGTAATGCGACCTATCTTGTCATAAGGATGAGTGGTGGGGTTTTTCAGTAATGAATATCCGTAAAGGATTGAAGTTTGAGATCGCTTGAAATAATAGCAAGTGATGAGAGGGATAAAAACATTTTTAGTATTGTGTAATATTTACTTAGGATGCAATAAAATGACCAGCATTTTAATTCATTATCAGCTCATTTGAATCAAATTATGAATGCAGAGATAACTCGTTCATAGCAAATTCACTTAAGAATATAAAGTGGTGACTTTCTATACTTTCCAATTTTATAGTACATAAACTAGTAGTGCTCGTAATATAACTCCGCGAAATTCCTATTAATTCAGTGGGGTTTACAATGAAACAGCCAAGTTTGTAGTCACACAACCAAACTCATAATTAATTCAGCTTATAAAACAGCAGTCAAGATAGTATTCACGCAGTCAAGTTCATAATAAAATAGACCAAATAACTAGAGTGATAGTTAGATAAACGAACTTTCCCCAAGGAAAACCAATTTCAAACGAATTACTGCAAAATAAATTCTCAGTCAGCATTTTCAAAACACACACGTATCCACACACCTTGACCGTCCACGTACCCATGGAGTTTGACCTTAGTGTCAGACAATAAGAAACTTTAAGCTTACAACCTTCTATTTCTTCGCTCCCAATGGGAAGATTTTCACATTAAAAATATATCGACCTTCAACCAACCAAGCTCTTACATGTTAAAAGCTTTTAAGTGTTGAAATTTTTCAGACACTTCGGGGCATGAGCTTATGACTTTCTTGTCATAGTACGGGACTTCTAGGACAACCCTGGATTTTAACATGCCCAATTTTAATCTGCACGATTTGCAAATACGTGGCAGATGCTTACTTTATGTATTCTTCTGCAAGATGTTGTATTACTTATGCATTACTTATGTAACGTATTACTTATGTAATGTATTACTTATGTATTAATATTCATAAACCTGAAGGTTTGTGAGTAAAATGTAAAAAACTGTTTAGAAAGTTTAGTAAAATTTGAAGATAAACTTCACAGATTTAAGAAAGAGGCTTAATGCTAGCAAAAATCGAATCCCCTACTTTCATGCTTAAGAGGACGCTATACTAACGAGGAAAAAACTTTCATGGCGAATTCTGTAGCACCTCCATTGATATTTAAAAACAGTTTTGAGAAAAATGAGTTTGAGTAAACCTAGAGTAAAACCATGAAGTTTCAAACGTTGAATTTTTTTTTTCTTCAAAATATTAAATTGCAAATAAATTATGGCAGAATTAGTAAGGATTACGCAGTTGAGAAGTACTTCCGCAGTGTGTAATTTATTGCACAATGTCATAATTTGTTTGCAAGATGATATTTTGAAAACAACATTTGAAACATCATGGTTTTATTCGAAATTTACCTGTACTCATTTTTCTCAAAACTTTTAATTTTTTAATATTAATGATGGTGAAACAGAATTTTTCATGAAAGGTTTATTTAACAGTAAAGTAACTCTTAGGAAATTTTAGCGGAAGGATAACCAATTAGGAAATTAGCGTACTTAATATTTACCACTTACGCTGAAAAATAATAGTTGTATTAATATAATTGTATGAATAATAATTATAAATAATAATAATTATAAATAACAATAATTATAAATAACAATAATAAAAAAATAATAATTAAATGTTGAATTCATGAAAAATGAAGTTTTTGAATTTACAAGGTCATCGGATGTCCAAAAATGGCGAACAATTTGAAAAATTAGTTTAAGAAAAATGGGTGGACATAGAAATGAACGGTTAATGGTACTCTGCTCTGAAAATAATTAATTTTTCCGGTCTAATTTCCCGAAGTAGGTACAAAAATCGTCAAAAGATGACGTTGCTGACAAGAAAAATACTAGAACATTTTTTTCATACGAACTATCGTTTGCGGAAACATCGCGCAGTCTGTGAAATTTTTGAGTTCAAAGTTAATCGGCACCATTAAATTCTATCGTAATTGCGTGTTAAATTGCAAATTTTCGCTGACGAGTCATTTTTAGCAGGGCATTTTATTGTATAACCCACGTTGAACAGTACAGCCGTCCCAATTCTGAGTTTATGATTATCAAGGTTCAACTCCGCAGCCTTGTAATTTTGAACCCAACCCAGAAGACGAACATCTTGGATCAAGCATTGGGACAAACTAACCTTTGTGATGACTTTCTGATGAAACTAAACCGCATTTGCGATACATAGAGAGGAGAACCCCGGAAACCTCTCATGGTTAGTCCGATGGTAAGGAGATTCCAACCCATGATTTGTCTACCGCTCTGGATATTTTATGTCAGCATAGTGGTCGGTGCGAGCTGGGAGCTGATTCGACCATGGTTCACCTCATTGGAAGGCGAGTGCTCTATCCCCTGAGCCACCACAGCTCTCAGCATGACGTATAAAAATTCGTTTTGCCAAGTCTGTAAACAGAAGGGTTTTCGAGAGAGAAAACCATTTTTTAATTACCGTAATGATTCTATATGGCCTAAAATTGATTTTACTCAAATTAACTCGTCATTTTCAATAAGCTTTTTATGTACACTCTTTAAAATAATAAATGAAACTCAAAACCACAACATTGAATAAAGAGCTTTTATTTTATTAACATTTTCTAAGTTTGAAATAAGCTATTAACTCACACATATGTAATAGGATGTACAATAACAGCATATTTAGAATAAATTAAATTAGAAATATCTATATACACAATGTATTTTTTTCCTAAATGCAGTTATCAATTTATCCACCAAATTTTTTAAGACTTTTTTTCTTTGATCAAAAGTCACACTTTAGTTTTATAATTGAACAAGTTTATTAGTTGTAGTTATGACAAACAAATTTTAAACTAGTTGTACCAATCAAATTAATAAGCAGATAAATAATTTTGTAAATTTTAGGTAGAAGGAAGTGAAAAAAAAACTTCATTCCAAACATAATTGCGTTAACATTTTTTATTTAATTGTTTGATATAGTTTAAAAAATGATAAACTTAAATTAGATTATAAAACAATACTGATTATTGATAATGAGCTAGCTTGAAAAGAACATATCACTTTTCCGTTGAATATTATTTATCAATTTGATTTGTACTATCAGGATAATTATGGACTCAAAAAAGACTAGAAAAAAATTATAACAACACAAATATAAAATATAAGTAAATAATAACATTGTTTAAAATAGTTACAATATAAATATTTTTAATACTGCAAAAAATATCACATATTCTATGAAAATGTAATTTCATCATGATTTAGAACATAGAAAGGTAGGTTTCAAAATGACCAGTTTTCAAAATAATAATTTTTTCCAATTCTTTTTTATTAATTATTTGTTTATACGTGGAAAAAAACACCACCATTTTATTTTTTACGATCTTTGCCTAAACCATTTTGATTTTGAATTTTTAAGAAGTTATTTTAACAGATACATAAATAATAAAAACATAAAAAATGTTAGTTTTTCTTAAATGTAATCCAAAGGAAAAAAATTAAAAAAAATTACATTAAAAACTAAAGCGCGTCTGTAAAATAAAATTACGCTATAGTATGATTCAACAATATATAATAGGTATTTCAGCAGTACATATTTAATCAAATAAATAAAAAAAATTACTGTAAAATTTGAGAAAATTAGCTTAAGCTGAATTAAAGCAAAACTCTTCGAATGAAATAGATATATAACAATGTACAGGATGTTCCAAAATTAACAGATGTGAATTGTGTATTTTTCAAGAATATTTATAATTAACTTTTAATAAAAACTTGTAAAATCAAATAAATTATTTACATGCTGTTGAACATATTTCTTATCCGTTGCTACAATCTAACAAGAATAAATACTTATAAGAAAAGAATAACTTGTTAAGAAAGTTAAATTATGTGTGTAAAAACTCATAGAGTTTAGCTCACCATTTTTGTACTCCTTTAATATTGAAAATTTATTTAACCTTTAAATGAAGCTGGAAAATGTTTTAATTTTTATGTAAATATATCACAGTAATTATTTGGCAACAGAATTAAAAATAAACATGAAAAGTAAGAAAAGAGCGTAATAATCATTTATTTGCATTTTCTGATAAAAATATCAATAAATATTATTGTTTCTTTTAATTTCAACTCACAACCAGTAAAATAATCGTTTTAAAAAACTAAAATTGAATATTTTCTGCTCATAAAAAACTTTTTTTTTACTAACAAAAACAGAACTTCTGTTATAAAAAGTTTAAATAAATAAAAAATACTTAAAAAAAAAACAAAAACAAAAAAAAAAAAACAAGACATTTCGCAGGTCTAGCTTTTGATTTAATTAAACATACCTATGATGAGTAACTATAATCATATCATAGTAAAAAGATAAAGAAAAAAACTATTTGCATTTAACTCAGATGTAAAGAAATTAAAATCTAACACAACAATTTAAGAAGAAACAAAATTCAATAGATCTGATTTTATTATTACACGATAATAACTAGAAAAATATGATAATAAATCTGATTCGAGATTTTATTGATACTTTACTAAATTATTGTAATGGATTAAGTAATTTTAATAGACCATTTTCTGACGAGGCAATAAAAATATCATGAATAAGTTCATCAGAATGATGTCACACACCGACAATTCTTAATAAGTTTTCTTTAAATTAATCATTTTGACTCAACTCATACGTAGAATTTTTTTTTCATTAAGGTGTTCTTAAAAATTCAAACTTTCTGATGAAAAGAATATAGCATATTTTATAGGGGCATATACTTTTCTTAAATCTCTGCTTTATTTTTGCGTATAACGCCTGCAAAAGTATTTTAAATTGAAATTTGTTTTAACCATTCCTTAACAATTAAAAGAAGTTTGATCAGGTTTATGGCAATTTTCCTTAAGCATGGTTCTAAAATGCATAGCTGCCAACTCTTCCGTTTTCCCTGGAAGATTTTATTTTCATGTTAAAAGTGGTAGCGAAACTCATGTTATCCCATTAAACTTTCTGAATTATAATAATGATTATAAATGAGTTTGACCACTATATATAAATAATTACAACAAATATATAAAAGAATAATAATCTTTGCGATAGCGAATTTAAACCTGTTCAAAATACAAATATATTTTTATTATGTTTTGTTATGTTTTTTGTTAAAAATATAGATATATTATTGCTAATAAGTGAGATTGTTTTTCGGGAATTGTTTTGCTACCCCTTTTTTTTTTAACTTTATAACCGTCGTTGAACAGCTGACCCAAATTTGGGTTAACGACTGATAAAGTTCAACTCCGTAGTCCTGTAATTTAGAATCCAATCCAGAAGACAAGGGAACTCCTGGATCGAGTATTGGGTGAAATTTGTCTTTGTGGAGGACTTTTTAATGGAATTAATCCGCATTTTCGTTACATGGAGAGGAAGATCACGAGAACCTCCCACGGTTATCCTGACGGCAAGGGGACTCTAACCCATGATCCGTCTACCACTGAGAATATTTCACGCTAGCACCGTGGTCGGTGCAAGCTGGGTGCGGAATTCGTATCGACCAGCCATAGCTGAGATTCGAACCTGGTTCACCTCATTGAAAGGCGAACACTCTATAACCCTGAGCAATCGCGGCTCGTTTTACTACCGCTTGGAAAATCCATTCTCAGGGAGAAAGTG